AAGACGTAATAATTCGTTTACAAATTATCGAATATGTAAAGTTAGACGAAATGTGCGAAGATGTAATTGATCTGAAAAATGTTGTGGTGTATTTACGCGATAGATTCACTTAGGTCACACATATATATAGACTTGTCAAGACATTTTATATGAAGAAGAATAATAAAAGGTCAACTTTTTCAGATCACTTAATGTTTTCTCACTGTTCTATCAAAATCTGTAAAAGGGACTAACTATTTAGAAGTTAGAAGTGTTTGTCGTGTGAATCGCTCATGTTTAGATGACTGATATGATGTGTTCACTTGAAATGCTGACGTCCAACATCCAAATAACCATATTTATGATTAAAACATGAGGTGATAGAGATAAGGAATGTAATTGCAAATTAGAAATCATGTAATACTTTACACGCAGAATTCCATTTTTGATATCCTGAACAGAGCAAAAGCAAAGATCAGTTGGAGAATAATAAGTTCTCATCATCTTACTTACTTACCTACTTACTTACGCCAGTTACCGCCAATGGAGCATAGGCCGCTCACCAGTTTTCTCCAACCAACTCTGTCCTGGGCTTCCCTCTCTAGTTCTGTCCAATTTTTGTTCATTCCTCTCATATCTTTCTCTATTTCTCGGCGTAATGTGTTCTTTGGCCTTCCTCTTTTCCTTTCACCCTGAGGGTTCCATGTGAGGGCTTGTCTTGTGACGCAGTTAGGTGCTTTTCGTAATGTGTGTCTTATCCACTTCCACCGATTCTTGCTGGTTTGTTCTCTCATCATCTTGCAACCGATAAAATCGAAATTAATAGGGAAATTTACATACTTGTAAATGTGAAGACTCCACCAGGAGCCCTCTTAGGGTTGCATTATCAGTCACTAGCTCGGATAAAGGAGCAGGGTTGAGTATACGGTTAGTAAACTTCTGCTCGAAAACAAACTCGCTAAAAAATACAAGAACCAGAAAAAATAATTCGAATGATATAAACTCTGACCTGGGAATTTGAAGGTCTTCTTTTAGAACATTTTATGACGTATCATGATGAGAGTTAAGCTTCTCCGAATGTCATCAGGCCCGGTGTCCCTTCTCACAACCCCAGCAACAATTAATATGGGTAGACGGAATGTTCGTACAATGTGGAAGACTGGGAGAGTCATCTAAGTTGCTGCAAATGTGAAAAGATACAACCTGGTGGTACTTGGAATCAATGAAACACATAGGATGCAGGTTGGAGAGCAAACACTAGCTTCAGGAGTGATGGTGTTATACCCCAGCCATGAAGAAGGGAGTGATCCAACTACGCAAGGAGTTGCATTGATGCTGTCCAAACATCCACTAAAAGCACTGATTGGATAAGATTCTCGTGGACTCAAGTTTATCGACGCATCCTTTCAGACAAAGAAAAAAGTGGTTACAATGCCGTGCCTACCAACAATCACAGTGAGGACTTTAAAGACCAATCCTATGAGAGACTGAAGTCGATCGTTTCAAGATGCACACTTTTGGGGACGTTAGTTCCCCAGAACTCACTTGATAAAGGTTCTAATTTTTTATTTTATGTTTTAGCGCATGGGATGATCAGTAGACCTTGAGATTACATTTCCCACTCGCAAAATCCTTTACTGTTATTGGTTGATGTATTATTTTAGTACGCTTTTTCTGTGGCTGGCCCAAAAACGTTTCCTCATGTACAAATAAACTCGATTTGTCTGCTTGTGGACCTCATATTTTCTCGGTGCTTGTAGAATACATTTTCTATGCCATATCAAGACTTCTTCTTCAACTTAGATGGGCCTCGGGACGCTTGGATTAGAGTAGCCTACCGTGTAACTGTATCATTTGTCTTCGCTCTCGTTTACCGACTAAGGTGAACTCGTAATAGTTCAAGCATATGAACTGACGAGCATAACACCCACCAAAGGATTAGACCATTCTGATGAGATACCAAACGCCAGGTTTGAGATGGACAACACTGGATCTAAAGACATCATGGGACGACATAGACTGAGAGATAGGAACCAAAAACAGTTAAAGATTCACAACGCTATAGGCCTTCAAAGAAATTGTGATAGACAGAATCATATTTCCACACAAAGCCACTTAGGTTTCCCCGGATCACACTATGAGAGATGTTTGTTTACTTGACGGATATGAAGAAGGTTTTCATAACAACTGATTGCATAGCTTAACTCGCAAAGAAAATTTTCTACACTCAATTCTCATAATTAATATGCAGACAAAAGTTTCACCATGAAGTTACTACTGTAAAGAAGGCTGTCCGATCTGACTGTATGATGCGATCAAAACGTTTTGAAGACCAGAAGATAGATATCTAACAAAAGACAATCAGTAATCTGCTTGTTTAATAAATTCAAATCTGAAAACAAGGTGTACACAATGTGTCAGTAAACTGTGTCATCTCTAAATACTGTTCAATCTGGTCTTGAAGTCTTCTCTCTCGTTAAAAAAACAACATAACCCCAAAATCAGTTCAACCTTCGTTGAACATTGATTTATTATCACACTCCTTTTTTAGTTTGTTTATATACAAAATATGCAAATAAATGAAATGATTTATTGAAAATTGAATATCAACACATTTTAAAAAAGATTAATCATCTTACTGTTATTATTATTACTATACTAATGATGCCGTTTATTTCCTTGTTGATATTCACTTAAACAAAACTGATTACAGTTTATAATGTCACGCCCTTTAACACTAAAATCAAACATGCAAAACGTTAAGGTGTTGCAATGATTATCATATCATTGAACTATTGAATTAAAATTTAAAACGTTACGTAGTTTTATGATTTATTTAATTTTCAGTTTTAAATGATTTTATCAGTAAAATGTTTATTTAAACTGATTATTTTATATTTCCGAATGGATTTTTCTAAATCACAGGCTTTAAATTTTCACTGTTTCACTAGAATAGTATTTGCTTTTGAAACTACGCTGTCGAATGACCTCCTTACTCCGGTTTACTCAAATATATATGTCTTCGCATCCGTTGACCAGACACTATCAGCAACAGCCTACACTAGGAGAGAACAAACCAGATTCCTGTGGAAGAAGAAATCAAGAAGAAGCGCTTGAAGTGGTGGACAAGATATACGCTGAGGATTGCACCCAACTGTGTCACAAGACAAGCCCTCACTTGGAACCCTTAAGGACAAAAGAAATAAGAAAGGCCAAGAAACATATTATACCGAGAAATGGAGACATATATGAGAAGAATGGACAGTAATGGGACAGAACTAAAAAGGAAGGTGGATGACAGAGTAGGTTGGACATTACTGGTCGGTGGCCTATGCTCCACTAGGGGAAACAAGCGTATTTATATAGTTTTTTTATTATTAACCTCTTCGACTTGAATTCCTTTCGTTATCAATGTCAATTACTTCGGATTATATCGATTACCTCATTGTTACAATTTATAGCATTTATACCAGTTTAAACAATTGATGAAAAACCTCAAAAAGTGAAAAAGAATGTATATTTATTCCGCTCCAATTGTTGTTCTACGCTTTAATTAAGAGAAGTTGCCAATTGGCTTTAATTTCTGATGAGTATTTTACAAAATTCGTCAATCAATCAAATCCACAAGTTCATATTTGATTTAACTTTTTCTGAAAGTGATAAGTGAAAAGAAAGGTAAAACTACTATCAAGTAACTAATGAGGATTGAATAAAAATGATTTCAACAGTCTTTAGTACTCCCTTTTTTGTTATAAGCGCATATCACGCTATAGTAGTTATCAATATTCAGCTGATGAGTTCCATACTAGTACAAAAAGGCCATCCGGTAGTTCTAGATTTCTAATGGTGATCTAACATTGATCGATTTTTAATAACAAAAAGTAACTAAACAATCTCCACAACCCATGATGCGAATCACACGCGCTCCCTAGTGACTTGATCCGCGAGGAATTTTCTCCGAGTTCTAGTGAGAAGTCGTGAGTAGTGCAGTTCAACTCTGTTCAGGTGTGAAGTAGTGTTTACCAAAGAGAGTGTATGAAGTTGCTCAACACGGTGGATTGATCAAAGTTAGACATTAACATCATTAGATACCGACTCAGAGGTCCAGAGGTTAGACGTTCGCGCGCAAGACTGAAGGTCATGGGTTTAGATGCTGCGAGTTGCAGGAGTTGAGGATGTTTAATATCACTGATAATCCCTGTACCAGGACAAAACGACCATCTTTCAGTGCTTCCAGGTTTTTAACGGTAGTCTAACATTGATCCACTCATGATTCCAAAAGAACAATATTCGGAAGTCTGTTTCATTGTAACCCATGATTCTATATCATAATCACTTATTGCATCCCTTTGTAATCTTATTCTAATGTTTAAAATCAGCTTTTTACTTGTTATTGTACTCATTCACCCAGTTATTACTGATTTCTGCTTACATATTGACCTCTTTTAAAGTTTGATCATTTAGAAAAAAGGCTGTAAACACATAAAACTAAACAAATTTTAGTTAGTTAATAATAATATTTTTTCGCAATATACAATCAAAATCTATTGACCGAATATTTTCTTAAACATTATTAACTTGTATTTCATGGTATCTACTTAGTCAGTTGAATTGTTGTATGACTTACTTACTTAATTATACCTGTTACACCTAATGTAGCATATGATACGTACTTTTTAGAGAGTTGGCTTTCTATATGATGGGTTAGCTACAGAAAGAGTAGGAAAGTCAAGAAAGTGCAAGAAATCGTTGACAGGTTTCCAAGTGTTCGAGATTCTGTTTCAATTTGGACAGGTCACGATGTAGAGCGGCCTAGGATAATTTTGACCCTGATGGCTTCTGGTTTGATCCAACTATTTTTTAAATGCGTCAATAGATGGAACTTCAATCACGTGTTAAGATAATGAGTTTCTGTTGTAACGGTTGCTTACGATATTTCCCGGCTAAATCTTATTGCTTAGTATTCTTGACACAAAACACTGGACAAGTAACACAAATCAAAACACGGTTGAACAGGAAGGATTGTATTCCAAAATAGCAAGGAACAAGAAGCTGGAGGTGATGGCGAAAGCCAAGGCAAAAAGGCTTGAAAGCGAAGAAGGCTAGAAGGCAAAGATAAATACAATGCGAGTCTATTTATAGCCTTTACATGAGAAAACTTCTGGAAGAAAATTCACGTGATCGACTGGGCTGGATTTGACCAATCAGCATGCAGCTAATAATACGAGAATTTTCTATCCTGTTCTCCAAGCTTCGATCAGGCGCTGATTGGATAGGAAATTAGCCAATCAGCGCGTAGTGACGTAATCATGCTTTAAATCCATCTATGTCCCACTAACACCTCCCCTTTGAGAAGATTCGTAGGATCTGGTGCTAGGGTCCAACTGCTTCCTGGGTGCCTTGCCACCCGTACTCTTACGAGCCGCCTGCTTTGTAGGAACCATATCTCTAGACAACCGTCGATCGGGCTGCTTCCCCACCGATAAGTCTTGTTGAGGCTCATGAACAGCATATGGTATAGGGCGTCTCGGACGTGAAGTAGGTTTGGCATCTGCTTTCGCTGGTAGGTTAGCTTTCAGATTCGTACAGCGGCCAAGGCTATTCTGAGAAACAGAGGCTGACTTCCTCTTTCGTTTATCTTGTAACCTTTCACCTGTCTTCTTTTTAAGTATCGGGGTGTCCAATGATGAACACGATACGCTGCAGACGCTGTTAATGGGTAGATCCATTATTCCCAGTTTTTCTAGCATATCTAGACCAAGAAGATCAAGGTTTGGCCGTTCTGTCACATAACATATTCCTCTACACTTTGTTCCGTTGAAGGAAAATTCACACTGGAATTCACCAACCAGTTTTAACACACCACCTGAAGCGCTTTTAACTGTTTTCTTAGATGGCTTCATTGGCGGTTTTCCCAGCATGTTGTACTTTTCTCTAGACATTAAGGTTATATCTGATGCCGTGTCGATTTGGAAACGAGCTGATGCACCGTTCATCTGTATAGTAACATACTTTCTCCGAACATCATATTCTGTTTGAAAAGCAGCTACGAGAGAAAGTGATTTAGACTCGGCTGATTTCACCACATGTCGAGTACGTTTGCACTTCTTCTTGGGCTGAAACGTACGATCTGGTTGGCAATGGCCTTCTTTATGTCCACGTTTATGGCACATCTGACATTTATGTTTTTTAAATGGACAAAATCGTACGTAGTGCCAATCACCACATAACCAACATGCCGTCGTTGGTTTGTTAAGAGATGTTATCGGCTTCTGGACCTTTAACCTAGTAATAGCATTGACACTACTGCTGGTTAAATTGTGATTTACCTGTTCAATCAACATGTTGTCGTGCCTGATGCTTTGTAGGCGTTTACACTCATCTGTCAATGTTCTGAGTGTGACGTTAGGGTCTTGGTCCATTCGAATCAAAAGTCTAGTTCTGGTTTCCGCATCTTGCGGTGACTGAAGAGCTTTGATGAATATTAAGCATTTAAATTGGTCTTCCGTCAACGAGCGTAACCTGAACCGTTCACATTCTCTGTTGACGACGTCTGCAAGAACCGCATATTCATCATCTTCGCGTTTCACCAGATTTAGACAATGATATCTAATACTAAACAATGATGCTGATTCGCCGAAAATATCTGACAGCTGAGTTACTGTCTCCTCGAAACTGAGATCTCGAGGTAACTTCGGTAATACGTGGTCAGCGTAACGTTCATACTCATTGCTTCCCAACTTACGCAGCAACAAACGAGTCTTCAAAGCATCATCTTGTTTACCGAATTCAATTCTAAATGTATCTTCCCAACGTTTGAACCACGTCAGAAAAGTATTTCCACATTCAGGATTATAGACGAATTCTGGTATGCTGTTAGCCACTGCTTCACAAGACGTATTTGAAACAGTATGTGGACTCGAACACTGGGTGTTGAGCTGTTGAGTTAGGGTCTCCAACAACCGCATTTGTGCATCTAATTGCGCTTGCTGTTGTTGTAGTATTCGGTTAAGCTGATCATCTGAAATGGGCATCTTGAAAAATTTTTTCCTTTTTCTCCGTCGCCACTGTTGTAACGGTTGCTTACGATATTTCCCGGCTAAATCTTATTGCTTAGTATTCTTGACACAAAACACTGGACAAGTAACACAAATCAAAACACGGTTGAACAGGAAGGATTGTATTCCAAAATAGCAAGGAACAAGAAGCTGGAGGTGATGGCGAAAGCCAAGGCAAAAAGGCTTGAAAGCGAAGAAGGCTAGAAGGCAAAGATAAATACAATGCGAGTCTATTTATAGCCTTTACATGAGAAAACTTCTGGAAGAAAATTCACGTGATCGACTGGGCTGGATTTGACCAATCAGCATGCAGCTAATAATACGAGAATTTTCTATCCTGTTCTCCAAGCTTCGATCAGGCGCTGATTGGATAGGAAATTAGCCAATCAGCGCGTAGTGACGTAATCATGCTTTAAATCCATCTATGTCCCACTAACAGTTTCATTCGTTGATAACTCTATATGAAAGTCAGTGGCGGGCTAACAAGTAATTTATTCTGGGTTTGTGAAATTTATCATAATTACTTACTTACTTACGCCTGTTACCCCCAATGGAGCATACGCCGCTCACCAGTTCCCTCAAACCAACTCTGTCCTGGGCTTCCGTCTCCAGTTCTGTCCAATGTTTGTTCATTCCTCTCATATCTTTCTCTATTTCTCGGCGTAATGTGTTCATTGGCCTTCCTCTTTTGACCTTGAGGGTCCCAAGTGAGGGCTTGTCTCGTGATACAGTTTGGTGCTTTTCGTAGTTTGTGTCCTATCCACCTCCACTCGAATCTGGTTTGTTCTCTCCCACAGTACGATGTTACTGATGGTGTCTGGCCAACAAATACGAAGTATTTTGCGTAGACAACTGTTAATCGAATACTTGTATCTTTTGGATGATGGCTTTGGTAGTTATCCATGTTTCCGCTCCATACAAGAGAACTGTCTTCACATTTATATTGAAAATCCTGATTTTGGTTTTGTTTGAAAGTTGTTTGGAATCCCAGATATTTTTCAACTGTAGAAATGCAGCCCTTGCTTTACCAATCCGCGCCCTCACATCTGCATCCGATCCACCTTTCTCGTCGATGATGCTGCCAAGATATGTAAAGGTGTTAACATCCTTCAAGACATCTACATCAAGATTGATTTGGTTGGTGCATGTTGTGTTGCATAGGAGAATTTTGCTTTTACCTTTATGTATGTTGAGACCTACTGCTGCAGAGGCTGCTGCTACACTGGTCGTCTTCTCTTGCATTTGTTGTTGCGTGTAAGATAGAAGAGCTAGGTCATCTGCGAAGTCCAGATCGTCCAGCTGCGTCTCAACTGTCCAGTCGATGAGGGTGAGAATAAGCAACCTTGCCTGACACCGGTCTTCACCTCGAAAGAGTCTGTTAGTCGACCTTCGTGTACGATTTTGCAGTTGAAGCCATCATAGGAATTCCGTATGATGTTAACTATTTTCTCAGGCACACCGTAGTGTCTAAGAAGCCTCCACAGTGTTTTCCTATCCACGCTATCGAATGCTTTCTCGTAGTCAATGAGGTTGATGTAGAGTGGTGAGTTCCATTCAATTGATTGTTCCACAATGATCCGTAGTGTAGCAATTTTGTCAGTATATCATCGATCCTTACGAAATCCTGCCTGTTGATCTCGAAGTCTACGGATTCCTTCATTCTGTTTAAAAATACCCTGTTGAAGACTTTGCCTGGTATTGAAAGAAGAGTGATACCGCTGTAGTTCTCACACTTGCTGAGATCGCCTTTCTTTGGTATTTTGGTCAAGTATCCTTCTTTCCAATCTGATGGTACTTGTTCCTCATCCCAAATCTTCTTGAAGAGAATGTAAAATATTTTCGCAGTTGCTTCTACATCTGCTTTCATTGCCTCTGCTGGAATGTTGTCTGGACCTGCTGCTTTGCCGCTCTTGATTTGTCTGATGGCCATACTGATCTCAATCGTAGGTGCGCCAATATTAATTGGGAGGTCCGTGGATGCTGCTTCGATGTTGGGTGGGTTCAGTGGAGCTGGTCGATTCAAAAGTTCCTGAAAGTGCTCTACCCACCTATTTCGCTGTTGTTCAGTGTTACTGATTACTTTGCCCTCCTTACTTTTCACTGGTCTTTCTGGTTTACGATAGTTCCCGGCGAGCTTCTTTGTTGTTTCTTACAATTGTCTCAAGTTTCCGTCTCTTGCAGCCTTTTCCGCCGTCGTTGCTAGATCTTCCACATATTTTCGTTTGTCAGCTCTGATGCTCTTCTTCACTTCCCTGTTTGCTTCTGTATACTCGGCTTGCGCCTTAACTTTCTCTGCTCTTGTTCGGCAGACATTGATAGCTGCCTTCTTGTTCCTCCTTTCTTGAATTTTTTCAAGAGTACCAACAGAGATCCATTCCTTGTGATGGTGCTTCTTGCGACCAAGGACCTCCTGACATGTTGAAGTGATTGCCTCCTTAATCCCTTTCCAATTGTTCTCCAATGTTGCTTCCTCTTCATTGAGTAGATCCTGAAAGGCCTGGAACCTATTGGTGAGGGCTATCTTGAATTCGTTGAGTTTTACGGTATCCCGAAGAAAGGCTGTATTAAACTTGTGTGATGTTGTCTGCCCCGTTGTCCAGTGCTTCTTTAGCTTCAATCTATGCAGCTTGTGCATAGACTGTCTCCGCTCGGCTGACAGTGACTGCTGAACCCTTGTTTCTCCTTTCTTAAATTTTTGCAAGAGTACCAACAGAGATCCATTCCTTATGACGGTACTGAGAAGATTGAGGTAGGCTTGAAAGATTGTATTTGGGAAATTTACACTCTTAGTCAATTAAAAACGAAAACATCACATTGAACACTCTATTTGCACATCATCTTTGAGTCCCGACTTCCAACGCTCCATCCTTCTTCCATTCCTGCTGTTGCTTCCTTTACTTCCTGTTGGTAATCCATTTACTTCTTGCTTTTGCTCCATTTGCTTTCCGTTTTCCTCTTCTGACCGTGAGACGTCTTCTTTCACGTCCATTCTTATACTACTTATATCGTTCGTATAAGTAGCACACACCACGGTACTTCTTGTGACCCAGAACTTCGTGACATGTTGAAGTGATTGCCTCTTTGGTCCCTTTCCAATTGTTCTCCAAGGTTGCTTCCCCATGCCAAGGTTGACATGGACAACACTGTATATGAAGACATCATAAGACGACATGGACTGGGAGAAAGAAACAAAAACGGTGAGAGATTTGCAAACCTATGTGCCTTCAACAAACTGGTCATCGGTGGCACAATATTCCCGCACAAACGCATTCACAAAGCCACATGGATTTCACCGGACCACACTACTCAAAACCAAATTGACCATATCTGTATCAACAATACGTTCAGAAGGACTATGGAGGATGTGAGAACCAGGAGAGGAGCTGATATAGCCTTAGATCACCATTTGCTGATCGCCAAAATGAAACTCAAACTAAGGAAGCACTGGTCAACGGGGCAGACAACATCACACAAGTTTAATACAGCCTTTCTTCGGGATACCATAAAGCTCAACGAATTCAGGATAGCCCTCATCAATAGGTTTCAGGCCTTGCACAATAAACTCGATGAGCTTTGTGCATATTTTATATGCTACTTGACAAGCTATTCTTCAATTAATCCTTTCGACTTGCAGAGGGCCGAAACATAAATATATCTGGCATATTGATTAGGTGCAGTAACTTTTATATACGAGTTAATCAATATCTTTTAAGTGAGTCCAACATCTTTTAATCCCATCTTGTGTAGAGTCTTGTATATTTGCTTTCCAAACATTTGTTTTGGCTTAAGCTGGCTCTCCTTTTGTAGTAACAGTTACAAAAACAAAGAATAAAATTTCATAGTCACCTGAAAGTGCCATATATTCGGCATTCCAGGCATCATACTCATAATGAGTAAACATGAGTTTTAGTTAACATTATTCTAAATCCAGGTCCGATCCCACATGTAGCATTAGGGTAGATATATAATAACCGCATCTACTAGTTATAACTGGAAAAATTTTTCTGATAACTCCGGCTTTGGATTATCCTAGACTACCTTTGGAGTATCGTTGTCTCTTAAAATAAGGCATCAACCACTTTAACACTAAATATTGAGTTTTTCAAGTGGACGCCTACTAATTCTGACATTCTATTTTCATTGAACATGTGATCGATAGCGATAAAGAGGATAGTATTTTCAATAAACAAAAGTAGTCCTCTTTTAGATTTTTGGATTCCTCCAACGCTGGTTGATGTGAAATTCTCAAAATCAAGTGTGCTATTGTGAACAGACGATGTCAACCAAGTTTCCGTTATGTAGATAACATACGAATTCATAGAGTCTAACTGCATACTCAGCTCCGATTATTTTTGCAGTGAACCCCGGATACCTTTTCAACAGATCCGGTGACTACGCCATCGTGTATTGCTGAACCTTCACTACCCAAAAAAATTAGCAATTCTAAGATACTACACGCTAGTGTTTTGCCACAGCTTCATTTCTTTTACGAATACCAGATTTTTAAGACTTACGTGAGCAACAAGTCTGAACATACGAAAATTGCGTGTCTCTTTAGTTTATACCCATTCCATAGATCGGTTCTTATTCTTTACTCGTATTTAACTATCGGATTTTAGTAATTAAGACGGAATTCTACATATTACGAAATTCTTAATAACTGGTGATGACGTTGTTTACCAAGTCATGACTTTTTCTACATTACTTTCTAGAAACAGACTTAGTTTTGCAGTAGGGCTGTCGGGAGTTGCTCGATTGTTATCACTTTGATACAGAGCTCTTAAACTAAGAAGTGATGTCTGTTCATTCAGTTGGCTTATTTCAGAGAATACTTGATTCACGCAGAGGCTAACTGGGGAGCGTTTGACAAGGCCTTTTGACCTTCCATTCTCAGGTCATTTGATTATACCGGTTGGAGTATAAGCTCTTCAGAGGTGGATTTTCAATGCCTCGTAGAGTTTCAAACACTTCTGAGCATCTCAAAGCACTTGCTTAAGCTCAATTTTGATGCAAGCCCAAGAGATAGTACCCAGAAAAAAGAAACCCAACAGAGCAAGATGGATTGTAGGCACATCCTCTACTCTTTATAGATGTTCGGTTTCTGGAAGAGGTCAAAGCGAGTTCCTTGGAGTCAGTCAAGCAGAGACTTGACATGTTCTTGGGGACTCAGGACCGTATTTCACTACAGTTTACAAAAATTTCTCTTTCACTTGAAGGATTCATATTCATATTCAGATTCATATTTGTAGCCAAAGTTATCCACTAATACTAGAAAAGGAAGTTCGTTAGCCGGAAGCTTCTTTTATTTCCTCCACAACTTTTTGAACCGTTTGAATCAATGTGTAGTCTAAACCTTAGGTCGCCTATTGACCTTGGCGGCTAGTTTTTACGCTAGCTATGTGACACATTTGGAACATTACTCTATTAATCCTCTGTTTTAACTATCAATTTGTCTTGATCTAATGCTGGCTTCAATTCTAGTTGATGTCCTTTACTTTCTGTATCAAATGTAAGTGCATTCTATGTTCTGACTTAGTCATTGGCTCACATTTTTCTCTTGTTGTTTTTCTTCCAGATAACCGTACACACTATTACTGACACTCCTCAGTACAAAAGGTACCTCTTGTCTAAACACAGACTAAACAAATACTGAGGTTACAGTTACAAAACATGTCTCGTGAAATCGATGACTCACTATACAGGTTAGATCTATTAGAAAATAATATTTCTTTATTAGCCGACAAAGATGTGTTTTGGGAGAAAATGCTATGAAGAAAATGTGTGAATCTAGAGTATTTTTGTATGGACTTGGAGGTGTTGGAATAGAAATCGGTAAATTATCTTAATAGTAATAATATTGCAAATAGCAAAAAATCTAATTCTAGCTGGAGTTGGCGAAATTCTAATTCAGGATCATTCTTTATGTTCTAGACAAGATTTAGGCACTCAGTTTTATGTGGATGAATGCAGTGTTAAATGCTCGAAGACTAGGTAAAAATTACACCAGTTTATTTTGACTTTTCATAGCTTGTTTTGGTATTTAATGTTTTCGGAAACTGTCTATGTCACTTTGATCAACCAGTCTATTATGCTTTAAGATATAGGTAAAAGGTAAAAATAACTAAAAGTATTAACATTAATCTCATTTGATTCTCAATCTCATGGAATTTCGCAATAGGTGTTCCAATTTTCAGTTACTGCATGTGCAACTAAGTTAGTTTCCCGTTGGAATTGCATAAAGCCACTTAATAAATGCATTTTCGACAGCAGTTAAAATAGTCTATGAGGACGGAATGACCGTCCAGTGCTTCTAAGTTTCTAATGGTGGTCTAACAATGGTTCATTCATTATTTCAAGGTAAAACTATAATCTACACAGTACTGTAGTGCAAAATCTTAAAATTAGTAACTTTGATTCATCAAGTTTTCGCATTACTATAGATCAAAGTGAACTGAATGACAGCTGAATTCTCATTATCTAGTATTTTAAGCTTATATATTTTTACTCTTTACATACCACGAAATGCTGACAGTTTGTTATTATTGATACCTAATAGAGCAGTACGTCAGTTTCGAAAGCTTTTGATTCACTCATTAAGGTTCAGGTTTGTATTCCGATCCACCTATCTTTGTTTTGGCGACCAAATACTATTATAAACCATCATATAAAGAGTATGGGTCGAAGTCAAGTATCCAAATCTGTACTTAACACCTTATAGACAAGCAATAATTAATGTTCTTATTATCTTTGTGCTATTATTTCTTTATTCCTCTTTATTATTTGAAAACATTCAGAGCTGAAGCGAGTCTTGATCATTTAACGGCTTTAAATCCTTATGTTCGTGTAACTTTAGTGATGGGAAATGTAACAGATATTCGTTACCCTCTCTCTGATCCTGCCAATAGAACTATTCTGAAACCATTAATTGACGAAGAATCATCCAAGAAAGTTGATGTAAGATAACTAATTTTATTTTTTGTCTATAAAACTTTTAAAAACTATTTTCTTAATGCTATAAAACTTGATGGTTCCGCATTTGTACATATTCCTTTCGTCACAGTTGAATTGAACGCCGTCAGTCATTTAATTCATTGACGTGGACTTTATGAAGCTACAAATTCCTATGAAAATATTAATGAATTTCTAGTTTTCAATGTTTAAAATAGCTAGATGTTGGTTTATGGTTTGTGTGGTGTATTTCGGTCCCCATTTGTACTGATATATTTGTGTTCTAAAGAAAATAAAAAACTAATTTGACTTTATGTCATGACTTTTAAATTCTTCTTACACTTGTTAGTAAAATTATTTCATCAATTTCTTTCCTAGTGCCTGGTACTTACACAATGTTCATTGCAAAAATCTACATTGTTAAATCTATTCTGTCGATCAAATGATATCAAAGTGAGTATGGTGTTATTTTGCATTGTAAAACAACAATATTTATTCTGTTATTATCAATAGCGTTAATACTTACCAATACACTATAATGTTATCTGCAAAGAGTAGTGTTTTGTCGTAATAACATTGTAACAGATTCTACTTCTTCAATCCAGCTCGGATACAGAAGGCTCGATTGGCTTTTGCCAACCTGCGTTACTTATGGCGAAGGCGAGATATCCGTTTGCTGACTAAAGGACGAGTGTACTGTGCAGTGGTTCGCTCCGTCTTACTTTATGGCTGTGAAACATGGCCAGTGAGAGTAGAAGATATTCGTAGGTTACTGGTTTTCGATCATAGATATCTTCGAAGCATTGCTCGTATATCGTGGGACACCCGAGTGAGCAACGCTGTTATTAGGAATTGGGTGCTAGGTAAGAATGACAGATCAGTAGACGCAGTAGTGACATTTCATCAGTTGAGGTGGTTGGGACATGTGTTGAGTATGCCCAACCACCGACTGCCTCGACGAGCTTTGTTTTGTAGTGTAGGAATAGGTTGGAAGAAAGTTAGGGGCGGCCAAACCAAAACATGGCAGAAATCCATGAAGTCATTGACGAGTGGACTTAGCCATGTCGGTAATTGTCGACTACCTGGTTGGGGTCCGCGAGATGATAATGATCGATGGTTAAAGACCTTGAATGACATGGATCAAAACTGTTTGCAATGGCGCCGGTGCATTTATTCTTTGTGTTCTCTCAAATCCTAATCTTCTGAATTCTTCAACACCTCTAGTTTTGACTTTCTAAACTTTTCTCATTTAATCATACTTCTTGAATAATATCTTCTAATCCTAACCTCTCCGATTACTTCTAGTACCTTTACTTCCTCTTCTACAGTGGGATTTGAATTGACAATTGCGTCTCTGCGCTAATGTTGTATGGTGACCTGAACTGATGTACATACATACGAAGTTCTACGTTTTAAATGACTGACTCGTATAATAACAAGATCCAGGCGATTGCCCTTTAGTATTGTGATATCACGCACCTATACTGACATCAATTCTAATGCTATTTAAGTTTCTTCTTCATATATGTGTAAAATATATCCTTCGAAGGTCGAATTCTAATCAGTTGGCAGGTTTTAATCGCTCATAGAACTTAGGTTAATCTCGTGCATACAAGTTTGTTTATGCCTTCTAAAGTCCAAAAAAGCTGTAACTAAAAAAAACCTCTTACACTCAGTTAGTCATTTACCATGTAGAACTCCGTATGTACGTACATCAGTTCAGGTTGCCATACCGCATCAACACAAAAACACAACTGTCAGTTCAAACCCCATAATAGTAGATGTAGTAAAACCATATGCAGTAATCGGAAAAATTACGGTCTGAAGATATTATTCAAGGAGTAGAATCTAGTGAAATAAATAAATTTGAGAAGAGAAAGATAAAGGTGATGAGGAATTCGGAAGATTAGAATTTCAGAGAACATAAAGAATGAATGCACCTGCGCCATTGCAAACAATTTCGAGCCATGTCATTCTAGGTCTCTAAGCATCGATTACTATTGTCCCGCAAACCCCAACCAGGTAATCTACACTTACCGACCTAGCTCAGTTTAAATGGAAAGTTGACATCGTATCTGTACTTTTCAACATAGTTAAAAATAGACAGACAGACAGGTACGACATAGAACTTCGTACGTAAGTACATCAGTTCAGGTTTCCATGCCCCATCAGCACAGAGACGCAACTGTCAGTTCAAATCCAACAGTGATAGCAATAGTAGAAGTATTAGCAGTAATGGAAAAGATTAGGGAGCGAAGATTTGATTCGAGAAGTATAATTCAGTACGATAAATGTAGAAAGAGAAAGGTAGAGATTATGAGGAATGCACAAGCTTAGAATTTCATAAAACACAAAGAGTGTATGCACCTGTGCCATTGTAAACGATTTTGAGCCATGTCATTCAAAGTCTCTAACCATCGGTGACTTTTGTCTCGCGGACCACAACCAGGTAGTCTACATCTACCAACATGACTCAGTCCACCTGTCAGTGACTTCATGGATTTCTGCCATGTTTTGGTTTGGCCGAAAATGGTTATCATTCACTTGAATTAAAGGGTAGCTACCCTAAAGCTGATCTAAACTAATGGTCTAGTTGCAGAAGTTAGGTTCATTTTGAGTTTATAATCACAGTTTTACGTACTAGATTTGAGTTTTTTTTTCGTCTGACTTAGCACATTCACCAACTGTCATACATAATCAATTTGTTTCATTGTTATCATCAAATTTTTACCTAAAAGTTATTTTTAATTAAAATTTTTATTTTATTTTCTATTGTTAGTTTATCTATACAGATGTATATGGTGTATTCGGAAATTTATTTTGTGATTTTGGCTCTAATTTCACTGTTTTAATGCCAAATGATGAACCATGTAGAGAATTTTTTATTGGAAATATTCAAAAGGTATTTTTTTTATAGATTAATATTCACATATTTTTCAATTAGAGTTCTGGAGATTAGTGTTTTTGCACATTTAAATCACCAATCAATCATTGTTAGACCACCTTTAGGAACCTGGAAGCACTAAAAGACGGCCGTTTCGTCCTGGTATGGGACTACTCATCAGCAGTGCGCATCCACGACTCCTGCACTCCGCAGGATTCAAACCCAGAACCTTCGGTCTTGTGCGCGAACGCCTAACCTCTGGACGACTGGGCCGGCATCCAATGGTGTTAATGTGTAACTCTGATCAATCTACAGATTTCGCGCGACCTCACCCATTTTTTCTACGTAAATCTATATTCTTTCATGAATTACCATCGACAACCAAGGTGGATCCGATGCAGATGTGAGGGGGCGGATCTGCAAAGCAAGGGCTGCATTTCTACAGTTTAAAAATATCTGCAACTCCAAACAACTTTCAACAAAAAACCAAAATCAGGATTTTCAATACGAATGTCAAGACAGCTCTACTGTATGGAGCGGAAACATGGAGAACTACCAAAGCCATCATCCAGAAGATACAAGTGTTTATTAACAGCTGTCTACGCAAAATACTTCGTATTCGTTGGCCAGACACCATCAGCAACAACGAACTGTGGGAGAGAACAAACCAGATTCCTCTGGCGGAGGAGGAAATCAGGAAGAAGCGGTGGAGGTGGATAGGACACACACTACGAAAAGCACCAAACTGCGTCACAAGACAAGCCCTCACATGGAACCCTCAAGGCAAAGGGAAAAGAGGAAGACCAAAGAACACACTACACCGAGAAATAGAGAAAGATATGAGAGGAATGAACAAACATTGGACAGAACTAGAGAGTGAAGCTCAGGACAGAGTTGGTTTGAGGGAACTGGTGAGCGGCCTATGCTCCATTGGGGGTAACAGGCGTAAATAAGTAAGTAAGTGGATTCACAAATATTTCAGTGGTCTATTCAAATATTTGAGTTACCGGTTTCCGATATTTGTCTTCTCCCGATTTGTTTCGAATAGTAATGTGTGTTAATAGATGCCATTGTAGTTAGTATAAATTTTTTCGCTTCGATGAAATATGGAATAATTACACTGTCATTCACGTATTTTAATTAAAATAAAGACTTTGTTTCATGCTTTGACTAACTAAAAGTAGTCATCAAGCTAAACCTCAGTTGTTCGTTTATTGACTGTAGAAAGTGTGTTTAACTAGCTAACTAATCTGTTTATTTCATTCAGTTCTGATTCTAATGAATAACTGCCGGAAAATATGCTTCATAATTTAACATTAACATGTTAGAATGAAATAACTACTGTTATCGAGATCTGTTTCTTGACTAATATGAACAGAAGTGAGCACAAAAATGTTAGATTTAAATATCTTGTTAAAAATATTTTTCATTATTATTCTTAACTACTTAATACTGAAGTTAGTAATAAAAAGCTAACAAGCAAAATAAGAGCCATCGTCATTTTGTACGGTAAATTATAAATGTTGTATAGGTGATAAACTTGAAGGACATGGAAGTTAAGAGTTAAGAGTTCGTAAATTTTATCACTTCCAAATTAGGCTGTAAAAACTTCTCTTTGTCCCTTGCTATCCATGATGCAGAACTCTCTCTTCATATAGGGAGGGAACTAATCTCCAAAATCCACATAGAATTTTATATTTTTTTTTATTTAGATAAACGATAAAGAATTATCAGTCAAAGTACTTGGTGATAATCGTCATCGCCTAGAAAATGATGATATCATTCGACTCACTGGACTTAACAATGTACCAGAGCTTAATGAAAAGGAATTTTCTATCCAAGGTATGTGATACTATGAGATTTTATTCCGTTGCTATTTTTTAGCGTATAACGCTAGTTAAGAACAGTTAACTTGGTATTCAGAGGATTCTTATCCCTTCTGTTGATAAAGCTGCCGAGCAAACAATGCTGTCGTTCAGAAACAAGTTCTAGGAAAGGATGACAGATGAATTGAAGTAGTGAAACTTGAAAAGTTGAGGTAGTTAGGACATGTGTTACAAATGCTCAACCACCGGTTGCCTCGACGAGCTTTTTGTGGTGTAGAAGTAGGTTGGAAGAAAGCTAGGCGCGGCCAAACTAAAACATGGCAGAAATCTTTGTAATCACTGACAACTGGACTGAGTCATGTTGGTAGATGTAGATTACATGGTTGGGGTCCGCGAGATGAAAGTCACCAATGGTTAGAGACCTTGAATGACATGGCTCGAAACTATCTGTAATGGCGCGGGTGCATCCATTCTTCTCCTTCTCTTAAATTCTACTCTTCTGAATTCCTGGTAACCTTTATCTTTTTATTTTTAAGTTTATTTCACTGAATTATACTTCTTGGATAACATCGTCGAACCGTAATCTCTCCGATTACTGCTAATACTTCTACTACTTCTACTACTATAGGATTTGAATCGATAATTTAATCTCTGTGCAAATGTGGTATGCCAACATGAACTTATGTACATACGTACGAAGTTCTACGTTGTTACTGACTGACTGACTGTTGATGAAGACCAATCAAACATTTGACGTTCTGTCATGTTATGTAGCTTATAATTTGTTCTTAAACTGTTAATTAACATTTCATTTCCAGTCCTCTTTTATTTTTCTCTATTGCTTATAGTAAAATCACCTACAGAATTGATTATTAATGCATCGATGAACGATAACCAATTTTCCTATTCAAATGGTGGCGTTGCGATTCAAGTTAAAAAACCACAAGTGAACACTTTTGTAAGTCAATTTGATTTATCCCCATCTGTTGTTTTTTTTACGATTTAAAACTTGTACTCATCACTTCATTTAAAATCATGAACCGATCAATGTTAAATCAACCACCATTAAAAACCTGGATACATTCAATGGCTGTTTCATTTTAGTATAGGACTTTTCAAATTGAGGTCAGACATTAACACTGTTAGATACGGCAAACTTCGTAGTAGTCAGGAGTTCAAGTGTCCGCGGAGCAGACCTATGCTTTTTGGGTTCAATTCCCGCTTGCAGTATTGTGGATATGCATTAATGCAAAGTCCCATACCATAACGAAATGGCCGTTTAGGTGCATTCAGGTGTAATATTGATCGGTTCATGATTTCAAATGAAATTCAATTATTTTCATACACTTCATACTGATAATGCTTTTCCTTCCTAATAGATTTTAAGTTGAATAATTTTCTTTTGAAAGAATGAATTCTACTGGCATTTCTGATTGTTTTAAACAATTTCGAAACTTTTCAACTAATTTAGATTATCTAATTATGATAAATGTGACAACTGTGAACGTGCTCACCGACTACCTCGACCAGCTATGTATTGTGGTGTAGGAGTAGGTTAGAAGAAAGCTAGGGGCGGCCAAACCAAAACATGACAGAAATCCATGAAGTCACTGACAAGTGGAGTGAGTGATGTTGGTAGATGTAGACTACCTGGTTGGGGTCCGTGAGACGAAAGTCACCAATGGTTAGAGACCTTGAACAACATGGCCCAAAATCGTTTGCAATGGTTCAGGTGCATCCACTCTTTGTGTTCTTTTCAATTCTAACCTTCTGCATTCCTCATAATCTCTGTCTTTCTCCTTCTAAATTTATCTCAATGCATTGTACTTCTCGAATCATATCTTCGCTCCCTAATCTTCTCGATTACTACTAATGCTTCTGTGGTGTGCGCTACTTATAAGTAGTATATGACGCGAGTGTAGACGTAATATCTGGCAGCAGAAGATGAGGGAAGATCAAGAAAGGAAGAGTGAGAACACAATGGAATTTGTATGAAACGCATGAATATTGAAATGTCATATAATCGATTAATGATGGATTGAAGATTTGCAAATTAACGGTTACGATATGGTTTTCCTATTTTACTGAGTAACTCTGTAATTTTCGATAAATACAATTCGGTTGCCCTCACCTGTGTTCTCCTTCACTACACTTCTACTATCGCTGTCACTCTTGGATTTGAACTGACAGTTGTGTCTCTGTGCTGATGTGGTATGGCATCCTGAACTGATGTACTTACGTACGAAGTTCTGTGTTGTATCTGTCTATCTGTCTCTGTGAACGTGCTGTCACACACTTCATCTCTTGGTGTATTAAAATTATAAATATCCATGCAATCGATCTCATTGCTGATCTAAAATGCTGAAGTTTTGGGACAGAAAAAAAACTTTGCATTTTATTCTCCTGTTATCTAATATGATGTAGTGTTCGTATCAATACGGTTTGTTGTCCGAACCCATAGAGGAAGATTCATTGACTTTTATGGTTGGTTATTTTATCTTTTCTTATCATTTCCTTTACATAACAAGATTGTTTCTATATCCCTAGTGGAGCATGAGCCGTTTACCAACATTCTCCAACCTACTCTGTCCTCTGAGCCTTCCTTTCTAGTTCTGTTCAATTGGTGTTCATTCTTCTCATGTATGTCTCCATTTCTCCGCGTAAAGTGTTTCCGGTGTTCCTCCTTTCTTTTGACCTTGAGGATTCCAAGTGAGGGCTTGTCTTGTAACGCAGTTCGGTGCTTTACTCAATGTGTGTCCTATCCACCGTCTATGAAAATTAAGTGATGACTGCCATTTGTATCTTCTACACATAGAATTCATGCTTGAAATACTGGATTGCCAATGCTTCTGTAGTGCATAAATCATTTTCAAAGAATTATCAGATGAGGCCATGTAGCCAAAATTGACAAGATGTTTTAGTGTTGAACTTCGTCGATAGCGTTACATTTACCTTTAGAAAACTATGTCGGCTAGTGTTCAGAGATGCTTTCGGAAAGCCCTCTATGTGCGACCTATGTAACCTGTTCCAAAATAGCGGTTGAACTTATAAATACACATTGATGTGGGCCATTATGAAAGTAGATCCTTCACGCATCTACGAATAATGGAGTGGCTGAAAAAGACAATACGAAACTTAACTGCATGAAACGTTTCCTCTAAGAGTTTTTCAGAAAGATTCTTGACAATTTCCGCAACACTATCTCCCTTGAATTCAATGTCAGTGTTCTTCGGAACTGCATCTAATCTTGTAGATTCTAATTTAGATTTCATGTTACACTCAACAAATCTGGATGGATAGCCATTTTTGAGAAATATTGATCGGAGGTTGCATGGTTTTTCGTCTATCATCTTTTCTCAGTATAATTCACTTAAACCTTTCTACTTGAAGAGACTCAGCTGTGTATTGTCTGTTTAAAGTTAGTTTTCTATATATAGATCTGTGCACAATTCTCAATCAAAATTTTTGTCCAAGTGGTCGCGATTGTTTGAATGCACGAACGATTCAGACTCAAAAGTCTTATCCTGGAATGCTGGAAAATGCAAAACATCTTCCTTAAAATCGTAGACAAACTTTCAAAAAACTCAATACTAACTAATGTGGTGTCTGAACCTACTGTAGGTCACCGATTGTCATAGTACTGCATTCCCTAACATTGCTCCACTGTCTTGTTAAATATACTTATGGGTTAAAAAACAGCTCACGATGTCGGCCCCCCACTTCAGAAAACTACCTGTTTCGTTTTAGGCGTCCGACTCGGGATCCCAGTCTAACAATCTGTTTGGCGCGTGAATATTTAGATGTCTCCTTGTTAGGATATTCATCCGATATCCTAAGACAATTATTGGTCAGTTCCTATTGGTTAACTCCTACTGGTCAATTTTATGGTCGTACTAGTAGATATCAATGTCACCTGCTCCAATGTTTTTTCTTATTGGTTGTCCTGACTATCAATGTCGCTTCAAATGTTGCTTCCTATTGGACGTCTTAACTGTTAATGTCACAGACTTCGATGCTGTTTCCTATTGGACCAAAATGTATAAATACGCATTATCTGTAACGTTTCATGACCAAGACCGGGACCCGGATCCCTTGTCCGGGATCATGTTTCTCTTCTGGACTCGGACCTCATATTTTCTGTAGAATACAGGTTCTACTTCATATTAAGTCTTCTTATTTTTACTCAATATGTGGGTTGGGATAATCGGATTAGAATAGCCTGTCGTGTCGACGGATCCTCGATCCTCGCTTTCGCGTTTCCGACTAGGTACACTCGTAATAGTTCAAGCATATCAAAATGACGTGTTTACGTGCAGGCGTAACACCACTTATTGTACCAATTTCTATGTGTCTAAATGAAAAAAAACGATAGCTAACTTACTGGCTGCCGAAAACTTTGATAAATTAAAGGCAAAGTTCAAACTGGCAGTTCAATAGTTGTCTGTTTGCTGCTCACTACATTCTTTCTTTTTTCAGTTCACCTATTCTGTTTTCTCAATTTATTCTTTTTTTCGATTTAGAAAACTATGCTTGAACAAATTGAAGAACCCAATATCATGTGTGTAGATTTCAGTGAACCTGAGGTTAGTGAGAGAAATGTAATCATACCAGAATTCAGTTTTTTCCATTTCACTCTAATTGATTATTTAATCATGATTTCTATATCAAGTGTGTTAGTCGTGGAGATAAGAGAGGTATTAGGGGCTGTAGGAAGGATTTGATTTTGACCAATTTTGTCTCTCGTACTGTTACGGGGATGAGAACGGTTGTCACCTCGCGGCTGCCCACACCGTGGAAGGTTGTTTCTTGAGGGACCTGAAAAGGAAGATAGATTAGTGTTGGTCTTACAGACCTGTGAGCGTGATCACAGAGTCCAAGAGACAACTGCTTGAGGCCGGTCACGCACGGCCTTTTTATGAGAAGTTTTTAGAGGATTAGCTCCGTTCTTAAAGGCTCTTAGTGGGCACTCTTACCGACGGAGACGGAAATCCGTGAGGTAAGGTGAGGTGTGACATTTTTAGGGTCGAACTTTTCTAACCCTTCCTTCCTTGTGAGAAGGCATCATCACTGCAGATGCTGGTTGTCCGAGGAAACACCACTGCTGTCACACCCCTCTGCAGTCAGCAGTACGACTTCGCTGTGAGACCTTGAGTAGCTGCTTTTAGTCTCATCGTTCTCCAGTTGACCTGCCTGGCATGGTAGAACCTTCATGAACATATGTTCCAGCCAATATAGCTCGGTTTGGTCACCAAGATATTCAAGTCCGACCACCACGTCAAGGTAGCAGCTATCACTCTTGGATTTGAACTGACAGTTGCGTCTCTTTGCTGATGGGGCATGGCAACCGAAACTGATGTACTTACATACGAAGTTCTGCGTTGTATCTGTCTGTCTGTCTGTCTGTCTGTCTGTCTGTCTATATCAAGTTGTGTTTTACCTTCCTGATGTATGGAAAAAAATATGACAACTCAATTCGATCCCTGTTTTCTATGTTGATAATAATAATAATAATATACTCACGACTTACTTACGCCTGCTACACCCCCAATGGAGCATAGGCTACCGACCAGTATTCTCCAACCTACTCTGTCTTGGGCCTTCCCAGGGCAGAGTTTCAATGGTTTGGATTTTTCTTGTTAGCGTTTGTTTAGCAAGTTAGTTGTTTACGGGATAGGGTTGCCAACCCTATACTCAACCCTCTTGTCCGGGCTCGGGACCGGCAGTAGCCTCAGAGGGGCTCCAGGAAGAGTAAATAATAATAAATACATCATTCATCCCAGTTTACAGGCATGAGCAGGTCGATGTAAATAGTAATTTTAAATATAGTAGACAGATATTTGCTGATATATTGTTTTGGAAGTGTTCTCAGATTCCAAAAATTGACATGCATTGTAGTAATGGGAGGCGTCAGTCAGGAGCTATTAATTCTTTCTAAGTAGACGTTCGCGTTGCTGTATGAATGGTGTATTTTAAATGTCATTTTCACTTCCATGATAAATTGGTTCTCATCATTTACAACTAGAGAAAATAAAACAGAAACATCGAGCAGCGAACGATGAAAGCAATAATTACTGCAATAGGTCAATCAGGTCTGCCATCAGGATTCAAGTGCTAGATTATGTATGCTAAATGATTTTATGTTCTCAGTCAGTCAGCAACAATATAGAACTTCGTACATATGTACGTACGTACATCAGTTCAAGTCGCCATACTCCGATAGCTCAGAGATGCGATTGTCGATTTCTCTGGTTAGATACTATTCAAATTAGTTCAATTTACTAGGGACTGTGTTAGTGCAAAATATTTTCGCGTAAGGAGGTTTATTGAGTTGATTTCAGTAATGTGAATGACTAATTATTTAAAGTTTCTATAATTTTGTAGTGATTGAGAACACAGGTGGGGGCAACCGAATTGTATTTAAAGAAAATTACAGAGTTACTCAGTAAAATCGGAAAACCATATCGTAAATCGTTCATTTGCAAAAGATCAGTTCATCCTATCGAAGTGGACTGTTTCTGTTGCCAAACTTCAATCCATTGTCACTATTCATGCGTTTGATACCAATTCCATTGTTTTCTAACTCTTCCTTTCTTGATCTTCCCCCCGTATTATGCTACCCGACTTTACGTTGACACTCACGTTATATACTACTTATAAGTAGTTCGCACCACAGCACCACAATTTTACTCATTCAGTAAGATATACCAAAAGGTATAAGCCTATTTAAGGCATTTTCTGAGGAGTTATAGGCGTTGATACCACGAACAAAGGATTTAAGTGATTTTATTTCTTACATAGATTGCTATGAAGTACCCCAGAGTCTCAAAAATCAATTGATAGATAGATAGATAAATAGTATGTCATTATAGGGTAGTGGAAGTTGTTCAGTCTAATTGAAATCAGAAACCGATCAATGTTTGACCACCACCATTAGAAACCTGAAGGCACTGAATAGATGTTTTGTCCCAGTATGGAACTCTCCAGGAGTGCTCATTAGGGATTTACTTCAAGATGAATTCGTGGATTCCTAATGAGAAATGGTGACCGGTAGAGTTTAATCGTGCCGGTTATGAGGCAATTACCCACCCAAAACAATGAATGATGGCCACGTGATATTGTGCATTGATTGAAGTTAAACATTAACATCGTTGCATGCCGACTCAATGATCATGCGGTCAAGTGTTTGCACGCGAAACAGAAAGTCGTAGGTTCTTATCCCGTATGTGAGGTTATGGATGTCCAGTGCCAATAAGTTCCATTCTAAGACAAAATGGCCGTTCATTACTTCCAGGTTTTCATTGATGACCTAAGATTGGTCGGTTTAGTTTGAATCATAGTCAGTGTAGTATTTAGTGCATGGTTAGAGGCCTTGAATGACACGGCTCGAAATCGTTTGCAATGGTGCAGGTGCATCCATTCTTTGTTTTCTCTCAAATACTAATCTTCTGAATTCCTAATCACCTTTATCTTTCTCTTTCTAAATTTATTGCACTGGATTATACTCCTTGATTCATATATTCGTTCACTAATCTTTTTGATTACCGCTAATACTTCTACTACTATGGGATTTGAGTTGACAATCCAATCTTGCCGTGCTAATGTTGTGGTAAAACTTGAACTGATGTACGTAGGTGCCAAGTTCTACGTTGTAGCCGACTAACTGACGGAGCTATTTGGTGGCTTTGAACAATTCATGTAACTTTCATGATAACATTTCCGTTTGATGTTTGAATTTTTTTCTTTGCTCTAAATCAATCTTTATTTCCATTATTTCCCTTTATTCTTTGTTCTTTTGTTTTAATTTAGGAAAGTTATTTGTTACATTTAACTTATTTAACATTGATGAAATTCAATTTAGAAACTGGTCGTTATCCTAAACCATGGTATGTTGAACGCTTTTTTTGTCTTTTCGTGTATTCTTGATTCAAACCTTGATGTGTTTTTACGTTTTTTCATCAATCAAGTAGTATATTTATGCGTCGTAAAATAATATGGTGAATAACCTGATTACTTAAACACATATAGTTGGAATTAGTTACGTCAGGTGCTGATAGTGTGATAGATACTACTCACAAGATGATATATAAATCAGTCATTCAGTAGCAACGTGTAAGTTGGTACGTACGTACGTACGTACATCAGTTCAAGTTGCTGATATACTTGAACTATTACGAGTTCACCTTACTTGGTAAACGGAACGAAGATCAATGATTCAGAGATACGAAAGGTTACTCTAATTCGATCGTCCCAGGTCCCACTAACTAGAGGAAGAATTCTTGATAAGACGTAGATAAATGTATTCTACACGCACCCAGAAAGTATGAGTTCCATAAGCTCACAACTCAAGCTTATTTATACATTTATAAAATGCCCTTGTTGAAAGCCACAAAAGCATACTCAAATAATCCATCTACCATCTACCACAGTACAAGTGGTAATCGAAAAGACCAGGCATTGAAGATATGATTTGAGGAGTATAATCCAATGAAATAAATCACGAAAAATTAAAAGTCCTGAAGAATTCAAAATCTTCCTTTCGAGTAAAGACAACGAATGGATGCATATGCACCATTGCAATCGATTTTGAGCCATGTCATTCAAAGTCTCTAACCTTGACGTATAAGTAGTATGCAATGTGGCGTGACGTAGAAGCTGCCAGGATTGAGACGAGTATCTGAAGATCGAAATGCGTGACGTGATCAGTGTATTTCGAAAACCAGAGGAGATACGAGAAAAGATAGTCAAAAATCTACTTCCATTACTAATCTATAGTTAGTGTCTATGTTTACATATTTTGTAAACGCACTGTGTGTTCCTCAATTGTAAGTATATTCAATCTAGGCTTGACTTCGTCATATACATTGAAATCATGAATGAATTTTTGTTAAACTACTATCATTAGAAACCTTAAAGCACTGACAGACAGTCGTTTTGTCGAGGTATGGACTGCGTCAATGCGCGTCCTCGACTCCTACTACTCGCGGGATTCGAACCCAGGGCGTTCTTCGTATAATACAGTAATCCATTTGTCAAGAACTTGTGTTTCGATCCTTGAACAGTCCTTTTCAAATAAAACACTGCAGTCTCGTTCATCAAAGGATAAATAACTGAGAACTTAATGTTGCGCTCGTCACATGGTACGCTTGAAGCTATTACGAGTTCACCTTAGTCGGTAAATGCGAACGAGACAATTACCAGCGTCCAGATAGGCTACCTTAAATCCCAAGCTGTAAACAAAAGGCTTGGTAGGCGTAGAAAGTATATTTTACAAACACCCTGCAATCACAATACAATCAAGCATACAACTCTCGTCTATTTATACATCATAGAAACGTCCTTGGGACAGTTACGAAAATAGCACACTAAAATACACAGCAGCCAATCACAGCCATGGATTTTCCTGGTTGATGGGAAATGAAATCTCAAGGTCAACTGGTCAGCCCATGCTCGCCGACGTGAAATCCAAGATACGGGGCATTTGTCAAGCGAGTTCTGGGGATCTAACATCCCCAACACTTAACTAAACAAAATGAATAAGAATGAAAACCGATCATCAAATAGCTTAATTGAATTATTAAGACGACGTCACAGAGGAATTAAAAATGCGTAATGTAATACAATTACATTATAGACAGGTAGTAAAAGTATTAGCAGTAATGGAGAAGATTAGGATCCGAAGATAAGATTCGAGCAATATAAACCGGTGTATTAAATTTAAAAAGAGAAAGATAGAGGTCATAAGAAGTTCAGAAGATAAGAATTTGAAAGAATGCAAAGAGTAGATGCATCTGCGCCACTGCAACCGATTTTGAATCATGTCGTTCAAGGTCCCTAACCATTGGTTACTAATATCTCGTTTACACCAACCACGTAGTCTACACCTACTAACACGTCTCAGTCCAGTTGTCAGTGACTTCATCGATTTGTCCCATATTTGAGTCTGGCCACTCTTAGCTTGTTTCTAGTCTACTCTTATATCACAAAACATCGCTCGTCGAGCTATTTAATGGTTAGGCATACGTAAAACATTTTCCAACCTCGTCGAGCATAGACAACAAGTTCTGAAACACTGCTACTCTGGACACCGAATATAATCACTGTTTTTTAAACTATTATTTCAATGAATTTTCTTTAATTCATAAAAATCTGCTGATTTTTCTCTGCACTGCTCATTTCTGTTATCATTAGCACTAGTATGATGATATTCGAATGCGTTCAGATCAGATGGCAGCGTATTTAAAAACAAAGACACTGTTTACCAACAAAATGTGTACATCTTATTTTCATACTTCCGTTTGAAAAACAAGCCGATAATTGTCTTGTTTGTGTCATACCAGTAGTAACTTGTGGGCAACACTCCGTCGCATACTACTTATAATCCATGTTCGTCAATAGTAGTATCTACCACACTGGTAATATCTGTTATTCAATAGTAAATATTCATGGTTCGTTAACCTAGTATGTCATAATAAATTATTTTAGTTAAACGAATTAATTTGGAAAATTATACTTGAGAAATGACTAAATTTAATTATTTTTATATTTTATCTTAATGAAATAAAGGGATGAAGATGACTGGGTTTCATTTCGTAATCAAATGTTCACATTACAAAAGTTACACGCATCAAATGTAAGTAATTTAAAACAAACAAATTAAAGTGTCCAATGTATGTTAACGTTTTTGATATAAATGAATAAATAAATAACTAAGTTTGTGTGGGTGATTAAATGTGGAGGTTTCTTCGACATTAAGGTGCACCTGAATTGTTATAATGGATCAAATTGCAAACGTATCCATGGAGGCGAGCTCACATATTCGCTCGATGTGAAGACCGATGTCAGGCAAGGTTGCTTACTCTCACGTTTTCTCTTTCTCCTTGTGATCAACTGGATACTGAAGACATTAACATCTAAGTGGAATCACGGGATACAGTGTACATTTCGCATGCAGCTGAACGGTCTGGATTTCTCGGATGATCTAGCCCTTATATTCCACACGGAACCACAAATGCAGCAAAAGATATCCAGTGTAGCAGTAGCCTCTGCAGAAGGTAGGTCTTAACATACATAAAGGGAAAAGCAAGTTTCTCCGATACAACACAATATGCACCAACCAAATCTCATATGACAGAGAAGCTGTCGAAGATGTAAAAACCTCTACATATCTTGGCAGAATAATCGATGAGTAAGGTGAATATGATCTAGACGTGAAGGCGCGGATCGACGAAGCAGCGACTGCATTTCTACAAGTGAAGAACATCTGGAACTCAAAACAATCATCAACCAACATCAAAGTACGAATTTCGAATACAAATGTCATAACAGTTCAGCTCTATGCAGCAAAAACTTGAAGAACCATAAAAGCTATCATCCACAAGGTACAAGTGTTTAATAACAGTTTTCTACGCAAAGTGCTTCGGATCCGTTGGTCAGACATCATAAGCAGCAACGTACTATGGGAGAGAACAAACCAGATTCCAGCCGAAGAAGAAGCACTGGAAGTGGATAGGATACACATTGAGGAAAGCACTCAACTGCATCACAAAACAAACTGTCATTTGGAATCTTTATGGCCAAAAGAAAAGAAGAAGACCATGCAACATATTACACTGAGAAATGGAAACAGACATGAGAAGAATGCACAACAATAGGACAGAGCTAGAAAGAAATGCTGAGGATAAAGTAGATTAAAGAATGCTGTTTGATGGCCTTTGCTCCGTAAGGAGTAACAGGCGTAAGTAAGTAAGAGTGAATCAGTATCACTAACTTTTGATGAACTTTTAAATATATAAATGAAAATAGATCTTCTGTTTAACTGTTTGAGCGACGGCGGCGATCGAAAACCAAATGCAGATTGAGTGAGATGAATTTATTTCATGTATTTGTTTATGTAAACAGACATTAAGGTGAGGAGTGGGAAACTGAGGCAGTGAAGGTGAATGTGTCAACTCAGTTTGATAAGGGAGGTCATGAATAGAGTAAATGAAACATATTCATACATTTAAATAAAGGCAGTCAAGGTTATATACGAATCATTTACCTGGTGAAAACATGCATGATTAATGACTTCAGAAGAATAACTTCATCAGTCTGTCTGTGCTAAGCGTGTTATATTTAGACCAGAACTTGATATTGGGGAACAGGATATGTTACCGTCGATTTAATAACAGGACAAGCCTAGCTAATACTCTGCACCCTAACTCAGCTGACTAACGAAAGTAGTACACAGTCAACAGGAAGAATATATAATCCACAAGCAACCCGGAACAAACAAACATTAAACATTTGACTTATGAGCAAGATATGTATAATATAAGAACGTCCTTAAAAGAGTCACTAAATGGCATACTAACAGAGAAAGTGAACCAATGATATTTAATATCTTTCTGAAATACCAAACACAAGCTGAATGTAATACTGGGCGCAAAAGCAGGAAATTCAATTTTCTATAAATAAATTACAAGCTTCAGAAGTTTACCAAACGATTTCTGGAGATCTAGCATTCCGAAAGCCAGAATATTCCATATAGGCTTGACGTAATGGTATTTAGTTACCTACACTTGATACCCCTAATGCAGCACAGACCGCCGACCAGCTTTCTCCAACCTACTCTGTCCTTGGTTCCCCTCTAGGCTTATCCAATTTTTGTTAATTTTTCTCATCTCTGTCTTCGTTTCTCAGTGTAATATGTTGCATGATCTTCCTCTTTCCCTTTGACATTAGGGGTTCCAAGTGAGGGCTTGTCTTGTGACGCAGTTGGGCGCTTTCGTCAATGTGTATCCTATCCACTTCCAGAGCTTCTTTCTTATTACTTCCTCAGGTGGAATCCCGTTAGTTCTCTCTCACATTAGGTTGTTGCTGATTGTGTCTGTTTAACGGATCCGAAGTATTTTGGATAGACAACTTTTGTCTTCTGGATGATGGCTTTCGTAGTTCTCCAAGTTGCTTCTTCATACAGTAGAACTAACCTGACATTTGTATTGAAAATTCTGACTTGGGTGTTATTTTGAGTTTCATGTGTTCTTTAATTGTAGGAATACTGCCATTGCTTTGCTGATTCGCGCCTTCTTATCTGCATCATATCCACCTTGTTCATCAATTATGCTGCCCAGATATGTAAATGTTTCTTCATCTTCCAATACTTATCCATCAAGTGTGATTTGGCCAGTGCATGTTGTGTTGTATCAAAGAATCTTGCGTTTCTCTTTGAGCATATTGAGACCTGCTGATAGTGCTTCTACATCGGTCGTCTTCCCCTACATTTGTTGTTGAATGTGCGATAGAAGAGTCAGGTTATCTGTGAAGTCTAGATCCTCCAGCTACATCCTGGCTCTCCACTGTATCTCATGTTTCCCCTCAGATGTCGACGTCTTCATAATCCAGTCGGTCATCAGGAGTAAGAGAGAGGGTGAGAGCAAGCACGATTACCTGACGCCAGTCTTCGTTTCGAATGAGTCTCTGAGCTGTACTCCATGCACAGTTTTGCAGTTCAATCCATCATAAGAATTCCGTATGATGTTGACTATCTTCTCAGACACATCAGTGTCCAAGCAGCCTCCATAGTGTTGTCCTGTTCATGTTTTCTCGCAGTCACTGAAGTTGATGTGGAGTAGTGAATTACATTCATTTGATTCTCCCACGATGATACGTAATGTCGCAATTCGGTCGATACACGATCGATCCTTCTGGGATCCAGCCTGTTGATCTTGAAGTTGAACGTCTACGGAATGCTTCATTTTGTTTAACAACGCCCTGTTCTAGACTTTGTCTACTGTTAGGAGAAGAACGATACTATTATAATAATACCCATTATAAGATAATACTCTTTATAAAATCGATAAAAACATCAATATTTTAAATATTGAACAGCTAATGGTATTTCTCAATATACTTAGACTATATAAAATTCTTGAAACCATGAATCGATCAATGTTAGACCACCGTTAGAAACCTGGAAGCACTGGACGTGTTTCCCTCGGACAACCAGCATCTGCAGCTATGCTGCCTTCTCACAAGGAAGGAAGTGTTAGAAAAGGTCGACCCTGAAAATGTCTCACCTACCCTACCTCACGGATTTCCGTCTCCTTGGGTAAGGGTGCCCAGTCAGGTCTTTCAAGAGCGGAGCTTACACTGAAAAAACCTTTCATAAAAATGCCCTGCGTGACCAGCGTCAAGCAGTTGTCCCTTGGACTTTGCGGTCACGCAACCAGGTCTCTAAGACCACCTCTGGTCCACCTTCCTTTTCAGGTTCCTCAAGAAACAACCTTCCATAGTGTGGGCAGCCGGGAAGTGACAACCGCCCTCATACCCGTAACAGCACGCGAGACCAAATTGGTCAAAATCAAATCCTTCCTACACCAAAGCATACCTCTCTTCTCTCTACAACTAACTCTACTCACACTCCCTTTTCTCACTGCACCGCTAATGCAGACGAAGCGAGATCACGAAACGTCGTTCCTGGTCTCTTGAAACCCTGTTCTAGACTACATGTTGGAGCTTTTAATGTACGGACATTGTGTCAAATAGGGCAACAGGCATCATTAGCTAGGACTTTAGAAACTCGTGCCATCGATGTATGCTGCGTCTCGGAAACGTAGTAAAGTCATTAACCTGATTCCACCTTGTCAAAACGAAGAAGCAGCTCGATTTACTCTTCGTGTATCCGGTAGCCCTGATGCTGCTTCCAGGGGTCTTGCTGGCGTAGGCATAGCATTGAGTCGTAGGGCAGAACAATCGCTCCTTGACTGGATCCCTGTAGATAGTCGTTTGTGCGCTGTCCGACTAAACGGGACAGGAAGGACTCGGAAGGATAGGGACACTCGCCGTTGCCTCTTCGTCATATCTGCCTATGCCCCCACTGACTACAGTGCAGGCGAGGTTAAAGATGAGTTTTACAGAAAGCTTTCGGACCTCCTCTAAAAAGGTAGGCGCTCTGATATAGTAATAATGGCTGGTGACTTTAATGCTCAAGTAGGTAGACTAGGTAAAAAGGAAAGACATCTAGGTGGATGTTATGGTGTAGCGACTGAGAGAACAGACAATGGCGACCGTCTGTTGCAACTATGCTCAGATAACCGCCTATTCTTAGCGAACACCAACTTTAGGCATAAGGAAAAGTATCTGTTGACCTGGCGACCCCCGAAGTCGTCTCAACGTTGGACACAACTAGATTACATCGCCATCAGCCACCGATGGAGGGGTTCGATAGAAGACTGTCGCTCGTTCTGGGGCACATGTTTAGATTCAGATCATGCTCTAGTGCGAGCTGGTATCTGTTTGAGGCTTACTGGACGTAGGAAAGACACCGTAAGAAAGCCTCTTAGGGTTTTACTTAATGATAATCAAACCAAGAAAATATTTCAGGAGCAACTAGAAAGAGAGTTAAGCAACCATGCAAGCGATTCCCATCCAGAAGCAGGTTGGTATGATATCAAGAAGGCTGTGGAAACAGCAGTGATATCTGCTAGGAAGGTAAACCATGAGGCTAGGATGAAGCCGTGGATTTCAGTCGCATCCACCGAACTGATGGATTCTCGAAAACGCATCCCACCTGAGACTATCTCAGAAAAGGATGGTCTTACTATCCATTCTCAATCCAGGAGACTGGATCGAGGCGCAGAATACTTTAGGGATCAGTTCAGTTCCCGACCTTGCGAAGGGTGTGAGTATGTCTTCCGTTGCAGTGGTTATCTACGCACGACATTTGAAAAGGTAGAATGGACTCTACCCACTCTTAGTCGTTCCACGGTATTGAAATTAATAATATTGTGATGGACTTACAGTTTTTGGCTTATGGCGAACTGTCACCGGAATTCTCTACATCAAGTGGTGTCCGTCAGGGATGTCCACTTTCTCCATTCTTGTTTAATTTTATCATAGAAATGCTCCTAGACATAACATTATCCTCGTCTGAATTTTCAGGAGTAGACCTTCTACCAGGTGGCTCGCTTATTGACTTAGAATATGCCGATGACATTGTCCTACTTGGTGAAGACGCTGACAAAATGCAGTGTCTTCTGACTACCCTAAGCAACAATGCAAGCATGTTCGGGATGCGGTTTTCTCCCTCGAAATGCAAAATGTTGCTTCAAGACTAGGTGGCATCGGCACCTGAACTAGTGATAGGGAATGAAGTAGTCGAGCGTGTTGACCGATTCACTTATCTTGGGAGTCTCATCAGTGCTGATGGCGTGGTGACTGACGAAATCTCAGCACGGATACGGAATGCTCGATTGGCTTTTGCCAACCTGCGTCACTTATGGCGTAGGCGTGATATCCGTTCTCTAATCAAAGGACGAGTGTACTGTGCAGTGGTTCGCTCCGTCTTACTTTATGGATGTGAAACATGACCAGTGATAGTAGAAGATATTCGTAGGTTACTGGTCTTCGATCATAGGTATCTTCGAAGCATTGCTCGTATATCGTGGGACACCCGAGTGAGCAACGCTGTTATTAGGATTCGGGTGCTAGGTAAGAATGGCAGATCAATCGATGAAGTGGTGAAACTTCATCAGTTGAGGTGGTTGGGACATGTGTTGCGTATGCCCAACCACCGACTGCCTCGTCGAGCCTTGTTTTGTAGTGTAGGAATAGGTTGGAAGAAATTTAGGGGCGGCCAGACCAAAACATGGCAGAAATCTATGAAGTCATTGACTAGTGGACTGAGCCATGTCGGTAATTGTCGACTACCTGGTTGGGGTGGTCCGCGAGATGATAATAATCGATGGTTAGAGACCTTGAATGACATGGCTCAAAATCGTTCGCAATGGTGCCGGTGCATTTATACTTTGTGTTTTCTCAAATGCTAATCTTCTGGATTCTTCAACCCCTCTAGTTTCGACTCTCTAAACTTTTCTCACTGAATCATACTTCTTGAATAATATCTTCTAATCCTAACCTCTCCGATTACTTCTAATTCCCTTACTACCTCTTCTACTATTGGATTTGAATTGACGATTACTTCTCTGTGCTGATGTGGTATGGTAACATGAACTGATGTACTTATGTACAAAGTTCTACGTTGCATCTGACTGACCGACTGACAATACCGAAGGTTCTGCGTTTGTATCCTTCGAGGTGCAGGAGTCCAGGATGCGCACTGCTGATGAGTCCCATACCAGGACGAAACGGCCGTCCAGTGCTTCCAGGTTTCTAATGGAGGTCTAACAATGATTGATCGGTGATTTCAAATGTGTATATTTTTAAATGATAACTTGATTTTTACTTTCTGTTTTATGTTAATTTTTTTTGCGGTTACATCATTGTAGCCAATTAAAATGAATGAATCATTGGCTAAACGTTTAGTTTTCGCCAGTCAAGGTCAATTAGCACCATTATGTGCTATTTTTGGTGGAATTGCTGCACAAGAAGCCATGAAAGCGATCACATTCACATTTACACCGATTAATCAATGGGTAAGTCCCACGAGGAATAAGTGGAAATGATTTTTTTGGTCTCGTGTGCTTTTATGGGTATAAGGGCGCATGTTACTTCCTCACTGCCTACACCGTGTAAGCTTTCTGGTTGTCAGAAGTGGCATCGGCTTCGCGACTTCCGAAGGAACTCAGCTTTCATCATGAGACGTCATAACTCTTCTAAATGAAGCCCTTCTAACTCCCAGAGCAGAGTTTATATGGTGTGAATTATTTTTTCTTGTTAACATTTTTTTAGCGAGTTAGTTTTTTTCCGCGATGAGTTCGCCAACCCCAATCCTAACCTTCCTCCTTTATCCGGGTTTGGGACCGACAGTAGCTCCGAAGAGTTTACAGGCGGAATTAGTGTAAATGATTGAATAGATGAGTAGTTAAGCAGTTTAAAATTGTTTAGTACGTATGATTGTTATGATGGCCGATGTCTGAAATGACTACTTGAGCAAGAAGATAATAAGAGGCGAAGAAAGTGTATCTAGCTACCGAATAGTATACGCAAATAATCATCTTTATATGTGTTACTCCTTGGAAAATAAATCCAACAATAATTGACCAATCATATTCACTTTTCCCTTAGGAGATTTCTGATGATCACCAAATGACCTTGTTGCTTGAAAATTTCTGATTGGCTCTCTGTATCATAACCCAGTCAGTCAGTTGCAACGTAGAACTTCGTACGTATGTACATAAGTTCAGGTTGTCGTAGCACATTACCACAGAGACGCAAATGTCAAATCAAATCCCATAGTGATAAAGATAGTAGAGGTATTAATGGTAATGAAGAAGACTTCTTATTATTCAAGAAGTATAATTCAGTGACTGAGATAAGGTTAGAAAGACAAAGGTAGAGGTGCTGACAAATCCAGAAGATTAGGATTTGAGAGAGCACAACGAATGGATGCACCTGCGCCACTGCAAACGATTCTGAGCCATGTCGTTCAAGGTCTCTAACCATCGGTGACTATCTTCTCGCGGACCCCAAACAGTTAGCATACATCTATCAACATGACTCAGTCCACTAGTCAGTAACTGCATGGATTTGTGCCATGTTTTGGTCTGGCCATCCCTAACTTTCTTCCAACCTACTCCTACACCACAAAACATAGCTCGTCGAGGCAGTCGGTGATTAGGCATACGTAACACATGTCCTAACCACCTCAACTCATGAAGTTTCAGCACTTCATCTATTGATCTGCCATCCTAACCTAGTACTGGTTTCCTACCGACAGCATTGCTTACTCGCTTGTCCCACGATATATGAGCAATGCTTCTAAGACATCTATCATAACCCCCATAGTCTTGAAGTCAAAAAACTATTTTTAATAAAAGAACAAGTAGAACAAATTTTTTAGGCCACTAAAAGTTTGTGCTTCAAGATCACAACATTCATTGAATTATTGTCGTTGATATAGTTTTGGTTAGGCTCCCCGAGATGATAGTATAATCAGTGGTTAGAGACCTTGAATCACATGGCTCAAAATCGTTTGCAATCAAACAGGTGTATTTATTCTTTGGCGTTTCTTCAAATTGTATTCCTCTAGATTTTTTATCACCTTTATGTTTTTCTAAAAATTTATTTCACAAGATTTTACTACTTCACTAATATCTTTGAACCCTAAACTCTCCGATTACTGCTAGTACTTTTACTACCTCTACTATTATGAGAATTGAACTGACCAGTCCATCTCTTTGTGCTAATGTGGTATGGCAACTTGAACTTCATGTACGTACGTACGAAGTTCTACGTTGGGTTGGGATAATCGGATTTGAGTAGCATGTCGTGTCTCCGGATCCTCGATCCTGGCTCTCGTTTTCCGACTAGGTAAACTCGTAATAGTTCAAGTATATCGAGTTGACCTGTTTACGTGTAGGCTTAAAAACTTTGGCGACGGGGATGGGATCACATTGACCCTTCGAGACTTGAATTATTACCCGAGCAGCAGCTGAACTAATTAAGATGTTGATGGATACCAAGCTGCATCATGACACGACTATCGTGGATCATGTCAATCCTATCCTGTGTCGTACAACTGTCAATTAACCAGAGTAGCTGTTCCCACTGTTATACCCAGTCCACCTCACTTCAGCTCAATCCGATAGCCGATCTAAAATCAATCTGTTAGATTGGTTCAGACATCTAACATTAGCAGATATCCTATCAAGCATATAAGAAGAAGCCAACCCGCTCAGAAGTACCCAAGACTGGTCCTCATCTCCGTTCCAGAAATATCCTCTCCGACAGCATCAAACAACAGTCCAGATCCAAATAAACCGTCGTGTGTCGCTTCAATTCCTTCGGAAGCAGGTGTTAGGATATTCATTCAATATCCTAAGAGAATGATTGGTCAGTTCTTATTGGTTAACTCCTACTGGTCAATTTTATGGTCGTCCTAGATATCAATGTCACGCGCTCCAATGTTGTTTCTTATTGGTTGTCCTGACTATCAATGTCACTTCAAATGTTACTTCCTATTGGTCATCTTAACTGTCAATGTCACAGACTTCGATGCTGTTTTCCTATTCGACCAAAATGTATAAATACGCATGATCTGTAACGTTATATGACCAGGACTAGGACCAGGACCCGGTCCCGGATCCCTAGTCTGGGATCCTGATTCTCTTCTGAACTCGGACCTCCTACTTTCTGTAGAATACAGGTTCTACTTCATATCAAGTCTTGTTATTTGTACTGAATATGGGGGTTGGGATAATCGGATTTGAGTAGCATGTCGTGTCACCGGATCCTTGATCATCGTTTTTTCCGACTAGGTAAACTCGTAATAGTTCAAGTATATCAAGTTGATGTGTTTACGTGTAGGCGTAACAGTTTCTGACTGACTGACGTCGACCTGTTTTAAGAACTTAATATCACTCACACAATGTTGCCTCTGATTATGAGCAATCGTATAGCATTACTGAAAGTGGCTAACATATTATTAACCTCTCTTGTTTTTAACCATAAATATATACCAGCTTTCTACTTACCCCATATTTGTGCGACCAGTGTTTGTTGATTGGCAGGAAAATTGAATACTGCCTTGAGAAAAAAAATCACAAATAATGCATGTTAGGCAGTGTAAACAGTGTTTTTCCCATGTTTTAATTTGATGAACTATTTCACTACCCACAATGGTAAAACTCACAAACGGGGGTGAATGATCATTTCTTATTTGTTTCTTTATGCATTCATTGATCATGAAAATTTAGCTGTATTTACATTGTGCTCCGATTGTACCATTGAAAATGAATAGTAAATCAAGTGAATTTCAAAAGTGAGTATTTTACAAATGTTTGCCTGCTTTGCTTCGCTGTGTTTTTTTTCAATTAATTCATTGATTTATTTAAACAGACAAACATTTTTACAAACGGGCATCTAAAAATATATGTGAAATCATCAATTACTCATTGTTAGACCACCATTAGAAACTTGGAATCACTGGACAGCCGTTTCGTCCTGGTATGGGAATCATCAGCAGTGCGCATCCCCAAAATATCGTAACAGTGCTCACTAGTGACTAGCTTCGTGAGGAAATTCTCGGAGTTCGAGTTGAGAAGACGTGACCAACGGAGTTCAACCCTGTCGGGTGTAGGCAGTAACTACCAAAGACAAATGGGTGAGATCGCGCAAAATCCCTAGATCAATCAGAGTTAGACATTAACACCGTTGGATGCCGGCCCAGTGGTCCAATGCTTAGGCGTTCGTGCACAATACCGAAGGTCCAAGAGTGCAAGAGTCGTGGATGCGCACTACTGATGACTCCCATACCAGGACGAAACGGCCGTCCAGTGCTTCCAGGTTTCTAATGGTGGTCTAACAATGATTGATTGATGATTTCAAATGTGTAAAAACGCAAACCTCCAAAACTCTGCCCCAAAAAATATATGTACCACACAAATCATTAAATTTGTTAGTGGACCGAGGTTACTGTCTGATCGCACAAACCGATATGGTCGTTTCTTTTTCAGGGGGCCACTTCCCGAGCCTATGACTTATAAATCTAATCCAATGGCAGCCACTGACCAAAAAATAGGTTCATGCTAAATTTTTCATTTCAGAACCTTGGAGCCGTTATCCCCCATCAGTTTGTTATCAGGTTTTTCCAGCTTCCATGGTTGCATTCTCTCTATTCAACTATCCTGCTTAAACCTCCGCTGGACATTCGCTTTTCGTTGTCTCAATTTGGTAAATGAAACTCCGACCACGCGAAGGGTGTGAGTATGTCTTCCGTGACAGTGGTTATCTACGCACAGCATTTGAAAAGGCAAAACGGACTCTGCCCACTCCTGGTTGTTGCAGGGTATTGAAATTAATTATGTTATGATCGACTCACAGTTTTTTTACGTAGTTTTGCTGAGATCGAAATTTGTCGAAACGATTTGTAAACGTTGACTATCATCCAAAAGTAGCTGCTCTTTTGACGTGGTGGTCGGGCTGACCTATCGTGATGACCCAACCGAGCTGGTACATAAGTTCCTATAGGTTCTACCATGCCAGGCAGGTCGTTTGCAGAACGGTAAAACTAAAACCAGCAATTCAAAAGTGTGAGGGTGAAGTCGTACTGCTCACTGTAGAGGAGTATGACATCAGTAATGTATTTCCTCCGGGCCTTCAGGATCTACTGTGATGTAGCCCTCTCGCAAGGGAGAAAGTGTTTAGGAAAGGTCGACTCTAAAAATGTCACACCTCACCTTACCTTACGGACTTCCGTATTCGGCGGTAAGGCGATTGGAAGAACGGAGAAAACACCTTAAAATCTTCCCATAAAAAAGTATATATGTATTTATTCATACCACTTAATATGTATGTTACGATTTTTCTTGCTTGTTAGTTATCTGTCAAGTCGTTATGCTGCTTTAGTTCAATGTGTCGGTGTTTCAAATCTTCGAAAAATTCATAATTTAAGTGTTTTCATGGTATGTTTTTTGTTTAGTTTTTTGCAATATTTATTTCAATTCTATTCAACCTTAAATCAAATAATTGACTTTTGAATCTGTGATTGTTTATATGTGTCGGTGGTCATTGTACTGATGGTAGATTAGTTAGAATCAGATAAGTATTACTGCTTATGTGACTACTGGTTTCTCTGAATCATGTAATTTGGATATACATATAACATATCACAAGTATATCTTCTATGAACTTTATCGAGTAAATAAGTCAATGAGTGATGTTAAAATACTTTTAAGCGTGTAGATGACTGGAAACAATCAACAAGAAGCCTAATATAACCCAGATTTTATGCGACTTAACCTGATCGGTAAGGTGTATCACTTACGCTCTTGATTCAGTTTTATGCTATTCATAAGATCCTAACTGAACTGAACCATGTCAGTTGGTGTCGACTACTACCTGGTTGACGTCCGCGAGACAATAGTAACGGATAGTTAGAGACCTTGAATGACATGGCTGAAAATCGTTTGCAATGGCTCAGGTGCTTCCATTCTTTGTGTTCTTTCAAAATCTAATCTTCTGAATTCCTTACGATCTTTTCCTTTGCCTGAATTATACTTCTTCAATAATATCTTCGAACCCTGAAATTTCCGATTACTGCTCATACTTCTACCTCCTCTACTACTATGGGATTTGAATTGACAATTTCGTTTCCGTGCTATTGTGTAATGACAACTTGAACTGATGTAGTTGACTGACTGACTGATTCATAGGATCTGAACTCGCCGCCTTATCTATTTTCAAAGTCTACAATGATTTGCTGACACTTCGCTCCAGTCGCATAACTTCTCAACATAATACATAAGATCGAATCATTTTAGATTAATAAACTTATTTCAATTTGAAAATTAAAATTTTATGTGCATTCAATTAAATACTAAGCGAATATAACATTGACCCCTTACTGGCTTACTTAATAACTTTTTTTGGGGGCAGAGTTTTGTAGGTTTGTGTCTTTACACATTTGAAATCATCAACCAATTATTGTTAGACCAGCACCATTAGAAACCTGGAAGTACTGGACGGCCGTTTCGTCGTGGTATGAGACTCATCAGCAGTGCGCATCCACGACTCCTGCTCCTCACAGGATTCGAACCTGGGACCTTCATTATTATGCGCGAACACCTAACCATTGATCTACCTGTTACCTGAGCTCACCTTTCTAACGGTCCCCAAAAGATATTCATTCTTTTGATGTCTGTTTCCACTTCTCAGCGCAATATGTGCCTCGAACGACCTCGTTTCCTTTAAACTTGAGAATCCCAAATTAAGCCTTGCCTCGTCATGCAGTCTATTGCTTTCTTCAATATGTATTCTATCCATCACCTTCAATGCTTATTATTAATTTCCTTCTCAACATACATAAAGGAAAAAGCAAAATTCTCCGATGCAACACAACATGCACCAACCGAATCACGCTTGATGGCGATACCTTGGAGGACGTTAACACCTTTACATATCTTGGCAGCATCATCGACGAGAAAGGTGGATCGGACGCAGATGTGAGGACGCGGATTGGCAAAGCGAGGGCTGCATTTCTACAGTTGAAAAATATCTGCAACTCCAAACAACTTTCAAACAAAACCAAAATCAGCATTTTCAATACGAATGTCAAGACAGTTCTACTGTATGGAGCGAAAACTTCGAGAACTACGAAAGCCATCATCCAGAAGATACAAGTGTTTATGAACAGTTGTCTTCGCAAAATACTTCGGATTCGTTGGCCAGACACCATCAGCAACAACTTACTATGTGAGAGAACAAACGAGATTCCAGTGGAGGAGGAAATCAGGAAGAAGCGGTGGAAGTGGATAGGACACACACTACGAAAAGCACCAAACTGCGTCACGAGACAAGCCCTCACATGGAACCCTCAAGGCAAAAGGAAAAGAGGAAGGCCAAGGAAGACATTACGGTGAGAAATAGAGAAAGATATGAGGCGAAATAACAAACATTGGACAAAACTGGAGAGGGAAGCCCAGGACAGAGTTGGTTGGAGGAAACTGGTGGGCAGCCTATGCTCCATTGTGGGTAACAGGCGTAAGTAAGTAAGTCTCAGCTGGAAGAGGCTGGTTGGGTGTCTCCCACAATAGGTTGTTGCTCATGGTGTTTGGCCAATAGGAATAGAGTATCTTGCATAGATCACTGTTAATAAACATTTGTATCTTTTTAGATAATGGCTTTCATTTAAATGTCAGTTTTATTGATCAAACTTCACTTCCTTTTTGCCTAAGTTTCTCCCCCCCCCACTTGAATGCGTTTATTCTCTTACAGGTTGGTTGTGGTGCAATTGGTTGTGAATTATTAAAAAATTTAGCATTGTTAGGTGTAGCCACTGCTGGATCAAATGTCCATAATGTTGATGATGATGTTGTCAGTCAGCAGCAGCAACAACAACACCAACACCAACCAGAGCAATCCAATGGCCAACCAATCAACAACAACTCCGGACAAATCGAATCCATCTGTTCAACAATGATCAATAATCGTTGTCCAACTATTCTTGTCACTGATCCAGATCATATTGAAAAATCTAATTTAAATAGACAATTTCTATTTCAATCTTGTCATATTGGCTTGTCAAAAAGTCAAATAGCATGTGATATAGTGAAAAGGATGAATCCCAATTTGTCGATCAAATCAATGTCTGATAAATGTAAGTGAAAATTATGCGTTGTGATGATGGTGTTTTATTCTCTGAGCTGGATAATGTTTTGGTTGTGTAGCTTTCATTGCTTTTCTGCTGAACACAACATCATCAGCACAAACTTCAGATAGAAGAATTGAAGTATTCGAATTTCTCCACGTTTGACTCATAGTAGCTGGTTCTGTTAACCTCGATCTTGACTGGTTGCTGTTATTGACCTTAAACCTGTCGTTGTTTGCAGCTTTGTTTTGATTGTATCACCCCTTCTATCTGAAGTTTGTGCTGCTGCTGATGATGATGTTGTTCACAAAAACAACAATGAAAGTGTAGTGCCTCCACGTATTATATTCGAGTTCGCTTACATTTAATTTGGTTAAGCAGCCCTTTCGATTAATTTATTTAACCAAGCCATAATTTGTATTGCAACAATTTATATGTACCATTCGTTCTTATTATTGTCTGGTTTATATGAGCTTGTAGTGAACGAGTCAAGATACCAGATTGACTATGCTCACCACTAAATGTTCCACACGGTGCCGTCATTCATAGCAAAACAAAATAAATCCATGATCCAAGGTTTTATTGAAGGAGACAGTAGGCATTACATCGGGAACAGCAAATAGAGAAAGATGGCAGCAATGCGAAGAGAACGTTGCGCGCAAGAAGTGGCAGCAGTGTTTTTGGTACAGTTAAACAAAATGAGTACAATAATGTTTATTTTTCACAAATCGTATTTTCTTCGTAGAAGCGTTCCACTACAAGCTCACATGACGTGTCATTTGACCTTGTCAATCATTCGTCACTTTGTTCATGTGTGCCTGTTTCACTTGTTGCATGTCTGTGTTATATTTGTCTGACTTGATATTCTTAGTCATGCTCTATTTCTTTGAGTTGGCTCTTAGCCTTCTCCAATTCGCTCCGCCTATTCGTTCGCTTCTTTCGCTCATTCTTTCGCTGCTTTTCAACTTCGCTATGTGGTGTGTCCAAAATATAAACGTATTCAATACTTCGAATTCGCCTTCTGATTTATAAACCGTCAGACGCTATCCGAACACGCAGATAAACGGTCACCACAAAAGCTCCACAACCAAGACATCCAGCTCAGAGAACGAAACACCAACACAATCATCCATCTGAGCTACAAATTTCCTTCATCATCTGAAGATTATTCATATTTTACATTGAAATCGTGCATCAATCATTGTTAGACACGACCAGCATTATAAACCTGAAAGCATTGAAAGACGGTTGTCTTATCGTGGTTTTGGACTTGGCATCAGCATCGCGCGTCTACCGTTGGATGACAGTGACCCGGCGGTCCCGAGGCTGGGTGTTCGCACGCAAGATCGAAGGTCCTTGGTCCGAATCCTGTGAGTAGGAGGAGTCAACGATGCACATATTCGGTTTTGCATGAAAACGCTTGACCTTTTGACTAACCACTAATTAGAGATTTATGGATGTTGACAATATTGCCTTAAACCTCACTGTCCATGTCTTCGCATTAGACCTCCGAAAATTCTCTCACAACGAGCTAATCACTGACAAAGTTTCCAGTGAGGTGGTCAGTCAGTTGCAACGTAGAACTTCGTACGTATGTACATACGTTCACGTTGCCATACCACATTAGCACAGTCAGTCAGTCAGTTGCAACGTAGAACTTCGTACGTATGTACATAAGTTCATGTTACCATACCACATTAGCACAGAGACGCAAATGTCGAATCAAATCCCAAGTGATAGAGATATTAGAGGTATTAATGGTAATGAAAAAGAAGACTAGAGGGTTTGAAGATATTATTCAAGACGTATAATTCAGTGAGATAAGGTTAGAAAGACAAAAGTAGAGATGTTGACGATTCCAGAAGATTAGGATTTGAGAGAAAACAAAGAACGCAAATGCACCGGCGCCATTGCAAACGATTTTGAGCCATGTCATTGAAGGTCTCTAACTATCGGTTACTATTGCGGATCCCAACCAGGTAGCCTACATCTACCAACATGACTCAGTCCACTTTTGCACTTCGGGGGGGAAGGGAAGCGCATCCCGAACATACTTGCATTGTTGCTTTGGGTAGTCAGAAGACTCAGCATTTTGTCAGCCCATTGAGGTGGTGGTCTAATTAATATTAATCGATTCATAATTTCTGTGAAACTCTTAACGATCTTCACAACCTTGAACATGAAAATTTTCTTTGTTTTTTTCCCAGTTTGTCCAACTACTGAAAAATCGATTTTCACTGATGAATTTCTATTACAAGCCATCAAATGTACCACTATTAAACAACAAATCAAGAAATCCACTTCAGCGCAAATTACTTCACATCAACCAGGTATTATATTAGCTGCTTTAGACTGTATCGCAACACGTCGTTATTTAGATCGACGTTGTGTTACTCTACATTTACCATTCATCGAATCTGGTACATTAGGTACAAAAGGTCATGTACAAGTTGTTTTACCTCATCTCACTGAATCATACAATAGTCAATTAGATAATGATGATGATAGTAACCCTTTATTGAACAACAACAACAACAATGATGGCGGTGGCGGCAACAATCATTTGAATTCAATTCCATATTGTACATTGAAATCATTTCCTACTTTACCAGTGCATTGTATTGAATGGGCACGTGAAAAAGTAAGTTTTATTATTGAACAGTTTCTTGTGTGATAGCCGTTTTTAAAATTCTACTTTTCCTCTCTTCTATGTGTTATGCCTGCACGTAAACACGTCAACTTGATATACTTGAACCATTACGAGTAAACCTAGTCTGAAAACGGGAGCGAGGATCGGGGATCCGGTGACAGGACATACTACTCAAATCCAATTATCCCAGTCCCCCTCCCACCATAATGAGTAAAAAAATAAGAAGACTTGATATGAAGTAGAACTTTGTATTCTACAAGTATCCAGAACGTACGAGGTCCGAATCCAGAAGAGTATCAGGATTACGGACTAGAGATCCAGGACCGAGCCCTGGTCCTGGTCGTGGTCATAAAACGTTACAGATAATGCGTATTTATACATTTTGGTCAAATAGGAAACAGCATCGAATTCTGTGGCATTGACAGTTAAGACGATCAATAGAAAGCAACATTTGAAGTGACATTGATAGTCAGGTCAACCAATAAGAAACAACATTGGATCACGTGACATTGATATCTTGGAAGACCACAAAATTGACCAGTAGGAATTGACCAATAGGAATTGACCAATAATTCTCTTAGGATATTGGATGAATACCTAACACTATTTATTAATTTATTTACTGAATTAGATTGTGATTTTTTAGGATTATTAAAAACAAAATTTTTATAGTTTCATACGTCATGTTATTAGCTTGCATACACAATTACTTAGTTTCTTACGCCTGTATATCCCCCAATGGAGCATAGGCCACTGCCGACTAGCATTCGCCAATCTACTCTACTCTGTGTCTTCCTTTCTAGTTCTGCCCAGTGGGTTGATCATTCTTTTTCTCATGTCTGTCTCCGTTTCTCGGCGTAATGTGCTTTTTGGTATTCCTCTTTTCTTGTGACCTTGAGGATTACAAGTGAGGGCTTGTCTTGCGGTGCATTTGGGTGCTTTCCTTAGTGTATGTTCTGTCCTTGTCCTTTCTCTCTATCCTAAATTTTTCCTCAGCTGGAGAAATGTGGTTTGTTCTCTGCTAGAGTAGGTTGTTGCTTATATTTATGTTAGCTAAACAAATGATCCTGTTAATGAAAGGGAATTAATGGGGATTGTCCCATTCTCATGGTTGAAATTAGGAATTTATCTTAGCTAGACCACCTTAAGAATCTGAAAGCACTGAATGAATGTTTCTTCATAATATGGAAATCCTCTCAGCAGTGTGCATCCACGAAAATCCTACGTTCATTTCATGTGCGTGGAGTCGTGGAAACACATTGCTTCAGAGTCCCAAACTACCAGGTAATAGCCGTCCAGTGCTACTAACGTTGATCGAGCCAAGGTTAGTTCGTTATTCCGTCTATGAAGATAATCGTATCGACTTTTTGAAGAATTTTAAATTAGTACAGAAAATGTATAACTGAAAGAATTCGATAGTAATGGCATGAATACTATTTGTATGATAAGCGTCAAACTACTTGTGAGTAATATATTTTAAATTAATGAATAAAATCTATGGCCCTTCACCGAAATGATACAAAAATAACCAATTCATATGTTAAATATGGTTTAATAAACCTTTAAATTCATTTTGACTTGTGATTTCTTATCTATGTTTCCTTTTTTTAAAGATTCAACTTTTTTCTAGTAAACAATTCATTTTACAAAATTCTTTTTAATGATTTGAATTAACCCGTTTTTGATATTTTGACTGACATTCAACCAGTCTTGGTCGGCATATGGGGCATCGTATGTTGATTGACTGGATATCTCCATTATAACATAGTTTTATATAAAATGAACAGAATTTGGTTAGCAGTGGAATCCAGTATGTCTGTTTCGTTCATCGGAGTAATCCAAACCATTTCAAATTGAATTGAAGCTCATATTCGTTGTAGAACTAAGTAACAATCTGTACTCAGTAGCTTAGTGGATAACACGATGACATTTAGAGCAAACTGTACTGGGTTCAAGTTATGATGAATTTAACATCAACTGTTAGATGTGTGAAGTAAGTTCGAAGTAGCGTGAAACAGGAGTTTCGTATTCCACTGCTAACTACATTCTTCCTATTCTGTGTAAATAATCATGGTTTCGCCTGGTTAAGGTTAGTTGTCAAATTTTAAAATCAATTGTTTTCAAGGTCATGTGACCTGGTAATTCATCATTGAATTAGTTGAATTTCCCCAGTTCCATTTAGCTTGAGTTGTTGCCTAAACATAATCCAGAGTTATTGATGAACCATGTCAGTCTTCGCTTCTCGGAGCAGTGTTATTTGATCTTCCTCTTTTCCTGTGGATTTGAGAATTCCAAGTGCGGGTTCGCATCATGACGCAGTTAGGTACTTTCCGCACTATGTGTCCTATCCACCTTCAGTGCGTTTTGCTGATTTCTTCCTCATCAGCTGGAGGAATCTGGTTTGTTCTCTCCCACAGTAGATCATTGCTGATAGTCTAATCAACGGATCCGCACTAACTACGGTTACCGCGGTTGACAATTTGTGGGTAAACAATATGTTTTATTCATCATGAGACCTTTGGATTTGAAGTTTAAAATCGTGCAAAATTTTATCTGTACACTGGTGAACAGTCTTAAAATGAGTCAAAACATTTCCCTATTTATCTCTTGTATCAGTTTATATCATTTCATTGTGAGAATCCAAGCTGTAGGTGCCACCTTGATGTAGTAGGTTGGTCTTCCATATTCTGATGACTTAATCAAGCTTTATTGATGAATACTTATTTTGTCAGAGACTTCCATACCAGCTAGGGCAATTAGAGAGCAGTAAGATTAGAAACGATATACCCTAGTTACGAGTCCCTTGTTATCCCTGTCGACTACTATGCAAGAATGTGTTTTCTTTAGACAATCAATAGCCTAAAAATAGTGCATTTGAATGTGTCCTACATTCCCGTCGTCAGAAATAAGGTTCGAATAGCACATCAACTACTAGCGAAATGAACGTTTGACAAACCTCAAAACGTTGCTTCTTACATTCTGTGATCACTTGCCCTAATTCTCAAGATTACACCTAACTTAACGTTTGTAGCAGCTCACATACATTTGAGTTTGTTTATGTTTAATTTGGTTACTCCCTTTTGATTAACAAACTGAATCATTCGTATAACAAATAACTTATCTGTACCATTGTACCCTTATTACTGTCACGTTTTTATGAGCATTCAAACTTGCACATAGCTTACCGTCTACGTACATATTTATTCCACTGGCTTTTATGTTAGCCTCTTAAATATTTCAACGACTTATTCATCTTCCTAAGTATATATATACGTGTACATTTTGATCCTATTCACTCACTCGCCTGCTTGCATGCCCTTCGGCACTGGCCTATCATTTTCGCTTCGTATGCCTATGGTTTCGTGATGTGTGTGGTGAGATAATAAGCGTAATCAACGCTTCGTATTCTTCTTCTGATTGATACACCGTTGGGCTTTGTCTAGTAACAGCTATCAAGAAGAAAAGTATGACAAGTTTAGGAGTTATGTCGAGTGTTCTGTTATGAGTATAAGGGCGGTTGTCACTTCCCGGCTGCCAACACCGTGGAACGGCGTTTCTTCAGGAACATTTAAAGGAAGGTAGATTAGTGTCGGTCTTAGAGACCTGGATGCGTGACCGCAGAGCGCAGGAGACAACTGCTTGAGGCCGGTCACGCACGACCTTTTTATGAAGGGTTTTTGAGTATTAGCTCCGCTCTTAAAGGCCCTTAGTGGGCACACTTACCGACGGAGACAGAAATCCGTGAGGTAGGGTGAGGTGTTACACTTTTAGGGTCGACCTTTTCTAACCCTTCCTTCGTTCCTTGTGAGAAGGCAGCATCGCTGCGGATGCTGGTTGTCCGAGGGAAACACCTTACTGCTGTCACACCTCTCTGCAGTCAGCAGTACGACTTCGCTGTGAGACCTTGGCTATCTGCTTTTAGTCTGATCGTTCTCCAATCGACCTGCCTGTCATGGTAGAACCTTCAGGAACATAAGTTCCAACCAATATGGCTCTATTGGGTCATGACGATAGTCAAGCCGGACCACCCCGTCAATGTAACAGCTACGGTCGGGAGTTATGTCGAGTACTGACAGTGTAGCCCACCAAACGCTGACAGCTGCGTACACAAATATGTGTTCATAAAAAATCGCACTCATTGCACTCCATCTCTTGATTTATATTGATTTTTTACACTTCATTTTTATTCATTTCATTTTTACTTTGTCTTTTGATGCAACCAACCAATCAAACAAACAAACAAACAAACTGAACTTGTTTAGTTCGCTAGTCAATTCACATTGAAACCAATGAAATTACAAACATTTTTACAAGCTTGGAGTATTGAACACTGCCAACAATCTGTCGACAATCAGCCTCACTGTCATAATAATAATAATAATAATAATAATAATAATAATAATAATAATAATAATGGACACAATTCACAACAGCACCAAAAAACACATCAATTGATATCAGATTTAACATTTTTACTCAATCTATGCAACGAAACGAAGCATGATACTCCGACCAGTACTACTGCTACACATACTACTAATAATAATCATAGTAGTAGTAGTAGTAGTAACGTGATCATCACATCAGAATTATACGGAAATGATAGAATATTGATGAAATATTGGATTGAACGCATAAATTCATTGCATGATCAATTCCAACCAACTCTTGGTCGATTTTTATGCTCACGTCCATGTACATGGCATCAATGTCTGCTATTGGCTCGTGATAAATTTCAACATTATTTTAATCATAAAGTAAGCTGTGATAGTTATTTTTTGGAAAACTATCCCCCTCCTGACTTAGATCTCATATGGTTGAACTTACTTACTTATGCCTGTTACCCCCTATGGAGTATAGGCCGCCCATCAGTTTTCTCCAACCAACTCTGTCCTGGGCTTCCCTTTCCAGTTCTGTCCAATTTTTGTTCATTCCTCTCATATCTTTCTCTATTTCTATTTTTCGCAACTGCGAAAAAATCATTACGGGACATGAGACAAAGGGTATTAGAAGTGTTTGGGCCTATTTGCATCAAGTTGGGCTGCATCTTCTACTATCCTACGCCTTATATGTGTACACCATATGCTATACTGCTATATAGTACTGAAGGTCTCCTGTGAGACCAGAGGTTCGTTGTGATGAACATTGTGGATGACTTGGCATTACTTTGGCAAGCATCGGTAACAGTCCATATACAAAATTGATTAGCAGGGCGACCGATTTCATTAACACTGGTGGTTGTTTCGTAACATTCCTGAGGGCCATTGACATTAGGGTGCTGTATTACATATCACCATTGCTAATAATAATGAGTTTGACAGTCATGTAAGCGGGATGGGTCGAAATGGCCTGTTCATGCGGTGCATATTGATTGACGATGCGATCATGGATCGGAAATAATCACTATATATGTACTAGTGTATATATAAATGATGTGAATGGTCCAACAGGGTATCAGGTACCTGTTTGGTGGTTGCACCACAGGATTGAACCGAACTGTTCATGTCGAAATGCTAACACATGAGCAGTCTCCTTGGTCCTCTTGAAAACGAGTGTAAAATTGCCCTTGACAATAGAAGGTTAAAATTTAGATAATTCATAATATAAATTGTCGACAATTCTTTGAACAACTCTTTTCCATGCAATTATGTTTTGCTAAGCTACATACACTAGAAATGCAAAGTTTTTCACTCATTGAATTATTGTCCGAGTCAATTATTGTTCATATTACTTTGTACGGAGAGGTACGCTATTGTGTCGTGCTTGTTTGTGACTCCAGCGATTTTTCCCCATTTCTCCTTTGATTGGAGGAAGCTAGTTTGTTCTCTTCCACAGTAGGTTGTTGCTTGCGTAAACAAAACGCTCCCCATCTCAAAGCAGTCTTAAAATGAAGAATTCCTTTTCAGCAGTATAAAGATTTGTTGGAATTGCTTTCAATAATAAACGGTCTGTTTTATTTTAAACAATGTGAATTATATAATCCACTTCTGTTTCAAGGTTAAACTGATGATGTTATGTTGTTCTACTGCCAAACTATTCATTGACCCAAAGAATAAAAACTACACCACAGTTAATCAGGCTTTCGTTATACCCCCCAAATTATTAGACAATTAACAAAAAATATGTTACCGAGTTTGATGTGAACAATGATTTCTACTCTGTGAATGACTTCATTTTGTGAATTGATATGGATTAGTAATGCGTCGAAAATATTTTGCATTGATATGGGACAAGGTCAAATTATGTCTAATAATAATGATCAGTCACTCAGTCAGCCCCAATGTAGACCTTCATACGTACGTACATCATTAGCTGTTACTTTGACTTGATGGTCGGGATTCCCTATTATGATAACCCAACCGATCTATATTGGCTGACCCGTTTGTTCAACAATGGTAATAAGAGGTCGAATGCAGATTCAGTTAGATGAATTTATCTTATATAAGGATAAAAAGTGGAGCGAACTTTACCAAAGAACACTATTGAACTAGTTCAATGTAACGAGGCATGACTAAAAGCATTTATGGTCAGGCGAAACTAAGCTAAAGACATGTGATAGGCGAAGTAAGCAATGCAGACATTTTAATTGAAACAGTCAACACTATAAGTGAATAGTTGACAAGATGGAAATCCGCCGAATAAGTCAACAGATTTGTATATGAGCAGGGATAATGCACAAATGCGCGAACCGACGCAGTTTTTGTTTTCTTCAGGGGCCACATCCTGAGCCTTTCACCTAAAAGTCCTATCTACAGGGGTGTGGAGTTACGTTTGGAGATTCAGTCCTGATTGGTAGCCGGTGACAACTGACTATAGGTTCATACACCATTTGTCACCTCAGGCTCTTGGAGTTGGTATGCACCGTTTGTTTCGAATACGAGTTTCGTAACAATCAGTCAGTCAGTTTCAACTTAGAAGTTCGTACGTAAGTACATAAGTGTAGGTTGCCATACCGCATTAACACAGAGGCGCAATTGTCAATTCATATCCCATAGTGGTAGAGATAGTAGAAGTATTAGCGGTAATGGAGAAGATTAGGATTTTGTAACTCTACCTTAGATGGATCGTCTAACCTGGATCAAGCGTCAAACATTCAATTTTCTTTCTTGGAGAGGGAGGGTGAACTCTGTTCATCGTCAGATATACCCGAGCATCTGGTAATTATTCATTAGAAGCCATTTACTGAAATCTTCATCAAACTATTTTTTTCAGATTTCATTTCCCTTTTTGTCATCATGAAATTAAATAAAAACTGCTAAATGTGTATAATTATTTATAATAATTTATGCCAAATTCTATCACTTTTCTCATCTTTTTTTATTAAGGCTCGTCAATTATTACATACTTTCCCAATTGATACCAAATTATCTGATGGAAGTAAGTTTTAGCATCATTTTTATTTGATTTTAGCTCATAAAACTTTCTGTTCGACATTCTTTTGCTCATACGGATGTAGCTAACTGATATCAAGTTTCAGTATGACTAACCAGTCTAAATGAATTGACCTCGTATATACTGTGTTGAGATATTAGGTGGCGATTTAGAGTGGTCGGCGGCAGAACCCTTGTTGTCCGACCGTAGCTGCTACCTTGCCGTGGTGATCGGGCTTGCCTATCGTGATGACCCAATCGAGCTATATTGGCTGGAACATATGTTCCTAAAGGTTCTACCGTGACAGGCAGGTCGATTGGAGAACGATAAGACTAAAAGCAGCTACTCAAGGTCTGAGGGCGAAGTCGTACTGCTGACTGCGATGGAGGGGTATGACAGCAGTAAGGTGTTTCCCTCGGACAACCAGCATCTGCAGCGATGCTGCCTTCTCACAAGGAAGGAAGGGTAAGAAGAGGTTGACCCTAAAATTGTCACACCTCACCCTACCTCACGGATTTCCATCTCCTTGGGTAAGGTTACCCACTAAGGGCTTTCAAGAGAGGAGCTGATACTCAAAAAACCCTTTATAGAAAGGCCGTGCGTGACCGGCCTCAAGCAGTTGTCCCTTGGGCTCTACGGTCACACACCCAGGTCTCTAAGACGAACACTAATCTATCTCGCTTTTCAGGTCCCTTAAGAAACAACCTCCCACAGTGTGGGCAGCCGGGAAGTGACAACCGCCCTCATACCCGTAACAGCACGAGAACCCTTGTTGGTTTAAGTTTCTTACTGGCTATCATTTCACAGAAGGACACATGTCTACAGTTCTCAATATACTGATTTATAGCTTCAGACGTAACAGCTGAACTACTTTTTTATCACAGCTGTGACCCCTTATATGGTTGAAATGTTTCAAATTTGTTTTTAGGTTTAAATCTTATGGAGAAGAAATATAATCTTCTAAACATTTTATCGAATAAAACTTGCTTATAAGCACTATCTAACACAAAATATCTGTCAAGAGAGGTTTTCTGCCAACTACTTTCAACTATGTATATGAGATGGTTCAAAATCGTTTGCAATAGCACAGGTGCATCCATTCTTTGTGGTCTCTCAAATTTCAATCTTCTCAATTCCTGATCACTATTATCTGTATCTTTTTAAGTTTATTTCACTAGATCCTACTTCTTGAATAGTATCTTCGAACCCTAATCTCTCCGATTCTCTCTCCATTCTTGTTTAACTTTGTTGTAGACATCCTCTTAGAATTAACATCAAGCTCGTCAGATTTTTCAGAGGTTGACCTTCTACCAGGAAAGTCGCTTACTGATCTAGAATATGCCGATGATATAGTTCCATTCGGTGAAGACGCTGACAGAATGCAGAGTCTTCTGACTACCATAAGCAACAATGCAAACATGTTCGGGATGCGGTTCTCACCCTCGAAATGTAAAATGTTGCTTCAAGACTGGGTTTCATCGGCACCTGAACTAGTGATAGGGAGTGAAGTAGTCGAACATGTAAACCGCTTCACTTATCTTGGGAGTCTCATCAGTGCCGATGGCCTGGTGACTGACGAAATCTCAGCTCGGATACAGAAAGCCCGATTGGCTTTTGCCAATCTGCGTCACTTATGGCGTAAGCGAGATATCTGTTTGCTGACTAAAGGACGAGTGTATTGCGCAGTAGTTCGCTCCGTCTTACTTTATGGCTTTGAAACATGGCCGTTAAGAGTAGAAGATGTTCGTAGGTTACTAGTATTCGATCATAGATGTTTAAGAAGCATTGTTCGTATATCGTGGGACAACCGAGTAAGCAATGCTGTCGTTAGGAAACGAGTACTAGGTAAGGATGGTAGATCAATAGATGAAGTAGTGAAACTTCATCAGTTGAGGTGGTTGGGACATGTGTTACGAATGCCTAACCACCGACTGCCTCGACGAGCTATTTTTTGTGGAAGAAATTTAGGGGCGGCCAGACCAAAACATCGCACAAATCCATGAAGTCACTGACAAGTGGACTGAGTCATGTTGATAGATGTAGGCTACCAGGTTGGGGTCCGCGAGACGAAAGTCACCAATGGTTAGAGACCTTGAACGACATGGCTGAGAATCGTTTGCAATGGTGCAAGTGTATCCATTCGTTGTGCTCTCTCAAATCCTAATCTTCTGGAATCGTCAGCACCTCTACCTTTGTCTTTCTAACCTTATCTCACTGAATTATACTTCTTGAATAATATCATCGAACCCTAGTCTTCTTCATTACCATTAATACCTCTACTATCTTTATCACTATGGGAATTGATTTGACATTTGCGTCTCTGTGCTAATAATGTGGTATGGCAACATGAACTAATGTACATACGTACGAAGTTCTACGTTGCAACTGACTGACTGAATCTCTCCGATTACTACTAATACATCTACTGACTCTAATAGTACAGGATTTGAATCGACAATTCCATCTCCTGTGCTGTCGTAGTTTGGCAACTTGAACTTATATACGTGATATGTACGTACGAAGTTCTACGTTGTAACTGACTGACGTGACGTGATTGTTAGTTGTTCTTTGTCAATCTTCCAATGATGTGTGTATCTTTGAATTGAAATATTACTGTCTTTTACTGTTCTTAAAAAAACGGAGTTTATCAGCGATCATTGTTATGACATAATCGTAAATATTTGTTGCATTGTCTCGTGAAGTTTGCATTCACTGAAAAAAATCTTTACGCTTCAACAATCACACAAGTATCAGTATCTGTTTCCGCTCTCTGTGTTTTTTGTAAGAAGTGATACACTACTCCTGTCATTCGGATACTTTTATAACACAGATTGTTATTCAATGTATCTTTTAAGAAAAGTTTGTAAACCTTTTTTAAAAGATTTTTTTACTTTTATACAAAAGTCATCCTATGCCTGTCATCTGAATTGATAACTTAAAGTTGTGTATGTTCGGCTTTCTTACTGTCTACTCCACTTTTATTTAACCTCAACGTAAGCATTCTTTTAGAGGTAATTTCTTCATCATTCAACTTACTAAAGATTGATTTTTTCAAATGGTGAATCGATCATTGTCTGACCACCATTAAAAACTTGGAGGCACTGGGTGAACATTTCGTGCTAGTACGAGACTCATCAGCAGTGCGAGCTCCTCTCGCGAGAACCGCTAGGTCGCCCAGAACTCGGTGGTGTTAATGTCTAACTTCTATCAATCCACGATTTTGCGCAACCTCGACCAAAATTATTTAACGCTTTTCTAATTGATTAGGAATTTCTGCTGATTCATCGTTTTCTCATTTGAGTATCAGAATTATAGAACCATCTAACTCAGAGAAATAAACATTCCTAAAAGCCTATAGACATAAGAAAGGACACAAGTCTTCTTGTGACAATCACAGGGGAATAAGTCTAACTAATATAGTATCTAAAATATTCGCCTCAATAATACTTTGACGCTTAACGAAAGCTCGTAAAGAGCAGACTAGAGAAAACCAGGCTGGTTTTCGACCTGGACGTGATTGTATAGACCACATCTTGACACTAAGACAGGTCCTGGAACACAGACACACATTTAGACGTCCTACAATAGTTGTTTTCCTGGACCTAAAAGTGGCATTTGACTCTGTAGATCGTGATGTTCTGTGGCAGTGTATGTCATTGAATGGTGTACCAAAGAAGTACATTAACCTTATACAAGCTCTCTACTCAAACACCACTGGTCGAGTGAGAGCTTATGGCGAACTGTCACCGGAATTCTTTACTTCAAGTGGTGTCCGTCAGAGATGTCCACTTTCTCCATTCTTGTTTAATTTTATCATAGACATGCTCCTAGAAATAACCTTATCGTCTTCTGAATTTTCAGGAGCAGACCTTTTACCAGGAGGTTCGCTTATTGACTTAGAATATGCCGATGACATTGTCCTACTTGGTGAAGATGCTGACAAAATGCAGAGTCTTCTGACCACTCTAAGCAACAATGCAAACATGTTCGGGATGCGGTTTTCCCCCTCGAAATGCAAAATGTTGCTTCAAGACTGGGCTGCATCGGCACCTGAACTATTGATAGGGAGTGAAGTAGTCGAACGTGTAGACCGCTTCACTTATCTCGGGAGTCTCATCAGTGCTGACGGTCTGGTGACTGACGAAATCTCAGCTCGCATACAGAAGGCTCGATTGGCTTTTGCCAACCTGCATCACTTACGGCGTAGACGATATATCCGTTTGATGACTAAAGGACGAGTGTACTGTGCAGTAGTGAGCTCCTTCTTACTTTATGGCTGTGAAACATGGCCAGTGAGAGTAGAAGATACTCGTAGGTTACTGGTTTTCGATCATAGGTGTCTTCGAAGCATTGCTCGTATATCGTGGGACACCCGAGTGAGCAACGCTCTTATTAGGAATCGGGTGCTATGTAAGAATGCAGATCAATAGATGAAGTAATGAAACTTTGTCAGCTAAGGTGGTTGGGGTCCGTGAGATGATACTAGTCGATGGTTAGAGACCCTGAATGACATGGCTCAAAACTGTTTGCAATGGCGCCGGTGCATTTATTCTTTGTGTTCTCTCAAATCCTAATCTTCTGGATTCTTCAACACCTCTAGTTTTGTCTTTCCAAACTTATCTCTCTGAATCATACTTCTTGAATGATAATCCTAGCCTCTCCGAATACTTCGAATACCTTTACTGCCTCTTCTACTATTGGATTTGAATTGACAATTACATCTCTGTGCTAATGTGGTATGGCAACATGATCTTATTTACATATGTACGAAGTTCTACGCTGCATCTGACTGAATGATAGACATTAACAACGTTTGATCCCTGCCCAGGGGTTAGGCATTCGCGCCCGAAACTGAAGGTCTTTGGTTCGTATCCTGCGGGTAGCAAGAGTCGTTAGTGCCCCCGGCTGATGAGTGGTCCCATACCAAAACGAAACAGTCGTCTTTCAATGCTTCCAGGTTTCTAATGCTGGTCTAACAATGATTGATTCATGATTTCACCAACAGA